GCTACGAAATGTAGCCCAGATTTTGAAAGACGAGATTCCTTAGAAAGGCAAAGGGTGTTCCGTCACAGATGGCCAAAACTCTAGCCCTAATTGCCCTCCTGCCCTTGTTAAGAAATGGAAGAAAAGTGTTGACAATAAGAAGAAATATAAATGATGAGATTGGGTGACTGCCTATGAGTATACAGCCAGCAGAAGGGCAGACATTGTGTTCCCTGTGGGTAAGACAGACGAAGAAAGCTGCCCTTGGAGTGCCAGGGGCCGCTTCTTCATTTCTTGGCAGCAAGGAGAAGGGGCTTTTGTGGTGCAGGAACAGGCTGCCAGTCAACTATATTTATGGAGCACCTGCTGCGCGGAATTTGAAAAGAGGGAGACAGGCCTTGTCCTCAAGAAGCTTGTGGTCAAAGAGAGAAGAAAAGTCTTCATCTTCTGTAAACCCTTTAGGTTTCATGGTGGCATTTGAAGCAGAGAAGACTTGGCGATATTTAGGGCATAGTATCACTTGTCACTCAAAGTGTGTGTCAGAGACGGGCAGCATCGGCATCATCTGGGAGGCCGTTGGAAATGCGGAATCTTGAAGCCAGAGTCAGAATCTGCACTTGACCAAACCCCCTAGATGATTTGTGAGTACACTGCAGTTTCAGAAGCAGCACAGGGGGCTCGAGGTGGTGCATTTCAAATGTTTTTGAGAGAGCAAAGTTACCTGGTTTGCTGAGTAGTAAATTGATAGAAAGGGTAGTTCATTTACCTTGAGCCTCTTAGACACCTGCATCTCATCTTAGTCTTCTCTATAAGGTCTTCCTCCCCTTATTAAATTCGTAATGGGACATCAGTGAATTCTGGTTGCTCGGGGCCTTCTTTTTTTGGTCCCTATTTAATGGAGTCCTATGGAAACTGCTGTGAATGAATCATTGTTACAGAGGCAGCCAATGAATTTTGGGAACAAGCGACTGATTTTTAGAGGACTGGCAAAGCTATGGGCAAAGTCAGAGACATGGGTGTGAATTGAAGTAAGACAGCATTGGGCCAGGAGGCGAACTTCCAGTGGTTTCTTTTCAGTCCCAGTCATGTGCTGCTTGGCCTTTGCCACTCCTGGTTTCCCATCTCTCCAGGGTTAAGACAGCAGGAATTCTTTGTTTCAAATGCCTTGCAAATTGTTGAGAGTTCATTTTTTAAAAATCTTTTCTGTCCCCCAGGGTTAAATGATTGATCAGGTTATCTACATTGTACAATCTATATATTGCATGTAAATTTCATCAAAATCAATTATCACCATTTCACAGTAGGAGAGCGAGAGGCCTATCTCCGCCATTCAGTCCCCAGTTGCTTTCCCATCTCCCACCCCAATTCCAAATATGTTCTAATATGATGCAGCCCACAGACCTCGAAATAAGGCTAATCCCAGCAGATGGCATGTGTAGAAAGACATGAGCGTCACCTTCACAGGTATGTCATCTTACACAGGTGTGTAAAATTCTGATAAAGATGATGATAACCATGACGGAATAGAACATATAAAGTGCGTACCATGTTCCCTGTCCCTGCAGGAACTCATTCATTCCTGCCAACAACCCTTAAGATCGGTTCTGCTATTATTTCTATTGCATAGATGAGAAAATTAAGGCTCACTCCACTCCTACAGACAGGGCAACATCCATATGAGACTACGTGGCCATGACAATAAAAGCGATCAGTTCAGTGCAGGGGAAAATGCTGTAATACCTCTGAAAAGTCCATCCGCTTACTTCTGCCTCCACAAGCCTGAGCCGCTGGGAGGGAAAGTACAGCCTCAGGCTGCAGCGCCCAGGTTCTGAGTCAGGCAGACCCTGCGAGAGCCTGGCTCCCTTCATGAGCTGTGGGACCTCATGGAGACTCAGTTCTTACTTGCAAAATGGGGATAACTATAGTACGGACTTCATAGAACTGTGTGTGTTATAAGAATTAACATATACTAGGTGCTGCATGCAATGGGTGCCAAAAAGTGGTTGTACTTTATTTATTCCTTCACTGGCTGTAAAGTTTTGGGGTAGCTATGATTTTTTAGAAGGAAAATGTCTGGTTCCACCTACCTACAAGGCAAGCATGCATTTTTCTACTTTTATTCCTGCAACCATCTTAAAAATGTGCCAGCATTAATATTCTATGTTTCTGTAGTTCTATCTGGTGCAGTTAGCTGTTAATGACCCATTTTCTGTGGATTTCTTGGAAGTTGAATTAAGCCTTTTAAATTCTCACTTTGGTTTGATTTGGGGTCTGTTACACAGAACATAGAACAGACATAATGGACATGAAGAATTCACATTCAGGGCAGATTTACAGTTTCATTGTCCAAGACAATTTTCTTTTGTTTATTTGACTACAATTCATTCACCCTTGGCCTTACTTCCAAAACAGGATTTTAAGCAACCACAGCTTCCCTTACAAAGTAGGCCTTTGTTTCCATAGACGCAGAGAAAGCACAGCCAATTTTACAGTTTGTACACAATCACCAAAGAAGCCCTTCTTAATTTTTTTTGTCATTTAATGTGTTTTCAACAATAAATGAGATACTAAGGAGAAAGGAAAGGAATGAAAGATCCCCATCCTTGTTTAGTTGGGAAGGAAAAGAAACATAAACATATAGAGACCACTGAAGAATAATTTTAAAATATTTCATGAATAAAGAATGTATTATGATGTGGTCTGGAATGCCAAGAAGACAAAGGAGAGGAACAGAATGGAATAATTAGCTCTGAGAGTCTTAAGACAAATGTCAAGAAGACAGACCAAGATGGCCATAGGACAGTAGTGGTAACAGTCGTTGCTGTGAATTACAGAGCTCTATCTGTGTGCCAGGCACCATGCTGAGCATTTTATATAGGATTAGCACCCTAGGAGGGCATTTATTCTACTATTCTCATTTCACAGATGGGGCCACCAAGCTGATAGAGATTAAGGAATTGCACCCGGTCGCACAACTAATCAGGTGTAAAGTCAGGATTCAAACCTAGGTTGGTCTGACACAATCATACATAAAGAAAAAAACAAAAGGTCTTTTGGGAAGAAGATCATCACTCTTAGTGGCAGAAAGGTCAAAGGTGAAAAGGGACACCAGCTCTGGAGCAGAGGGGGCCTAGGAAGGAGAGGGAGGAAGTGCCTGCTGACAGTGGCTTTGAACGCTGACATGAGCAATGCAGGCCTAAGCAAACAGGTAACAGGGACCCTCCCGTGTACAATAACAGCATGAAACCCAGTTGTGGCCTAACTAATCCCTGCGCCTGGGGGAAAAGGAGACTGGAGGGCAGCAAAACTTGTCTGGCGAGGGGGAAGAGGTCCTCAGGCAATGGGCAACCGTCCAGAAGACAGCAGGTCAGAGAAATTGGCCCTCGCTCTCAGTCTCCTGATACCCGGGTGCTACATCAACTCACCCAAAGCCAAGAGGTCAGCATTAGAGTTCCACCTCTGCCCTCGGATCTCTGAACATAAATTGCCTTGACCGAGGGCCTCGTCCTCTGGTTGATGCTGGCACTAAAGAGCCTTCTCCTGATGTGGCGAAGAAACAAACGCATTTCTCTCCACGCCGGCTAAGGAACACTGGTCTTTCACTGTATCTTTAAGCCACGTCACATCCTGCCATGTTCTCATCTGCCAGTCTGAAAGGTTATATGTATTTTCTTTCATTTAGTCATTTTTTTCTCCCTAGTTAGTAAAAAGTAGTGTACTTATCTATGGACATCTGAATGAAAATGGTTTTTTGAACAATAAATTGGAGTTTATACCCGGCACAAAAAATTAATGACGGAAGAAGACGTTGCTCCAACTTGGCAGCCCTGCGCCTCTCCGTTCTCGGTTCCTGTTGCCATGAAGCCGGTCAGTCCGTGCTCACTCCAGCCCACCCAGACGGAAGCAGGGTGCCCGGCCTGTGCGTGGCGATGGCTCTTGGCCACACCACTCATTCTGAGGTATTTCTGCGTGGCTTGGAAAGAGGCACTTGTGGGAAAAAAGGTGGAAAATCATAGATCCAGGCAAAGATAAGGCTACTGGGACTGCACAGAGCGCCTAGAATACAAAAACGTTTCCTCAGTATTTAATTGTCAGGCAGAAAATAATTGTAAAAGATGCCTCCTTCTTTAACTGCCTCTTCCGCCCTGGAGGAACAGCTGGTTCTCACACATGTCACTGATTCCCAATTCTGGGCCTCCTTGGGGACTCAGGGGAAATTCTGCGCCCTTTGGTCATGGGGACTGCCTTTAGCTAATCGGACATATTCTTGAACAGACGTTTCTTTAACAGACTTTCCCTCCAGAATGCTCTATATTCTAGATATACAAAGCTCTGAAAACCTCAGGTAAGTGCAGGTGAAAATCTACCCCAGGTGTACGCACTTCCCGAAACGAGTGTGAGAGGGGTAGACTTTGTATCCCAGTGAACACAGGGCTCATCTTGTAAAAGGCAATGCCACCAAGACTTTGGTTTCCTCAACATTCAGAAAGTTTGCCCCATGAGGGCAGGATGATGTCGGGGACGCCGTGGTGCCTCTGGAAAGCGAGGTCTGAGGTCTTGTTGACTGAGCGCCAGCCTCACCTTGGGCTCTGCAGGACGTGAATGCCTTAGTCTCTAAGGGACATGCTTGCCACTCACAGTGTCTCATTTTATGCTCACAGCAACCTTCGCATATAAGGTAGATGTTGTGTCTGATTTTCCAGAGAAACAGGCTCAGTGCCATTAAATGCCCTGCTGCTGCCACCTGGGTCCCCATTTTACCTGCGTTCTGTGCGTCACTAACCTCTCCCATCACCCGAAAATCGATATGATACCATTTAGGTCTTCACTTCACACCGTGCACTAAAAGGCAGTGTGTCTCAGGCCTCTTGATGCCACAGGTTGATGCTTTACCTGCTTTCCCCCTCTGGTCAGTACAGGTAAGATGACTACCTTGAGTTTTGTGCAGCCAGGGGCTAAGGAAAGTAGCTTTTCTCAGTGATTCATGAGCCTAACACTGCCATTACTCTTTTCATTTCTAGAAAATGAAGTGCCCGCCCCAGCCCCAGCCCCACCCCCAGAAGGTAAGTTAAATCGCCACCGCACACATTGGGGCTGCAAGTCCAGAATGTCTATCCCCACATGATTTGGCCTTCAGGGGAGCCGCGAGCGTTAACTCGTGTGGAGAAATCGGATGACCACAGTTGTGATAGGTGTATAATAATAACAATAAGAATAATGACAATAACAACAAGAACACATTGTGTTATATAACCCTCTCACATGGATTTAATTTGGATGACGTGTCATATATTTATAAAAACCCTTTGAGTTATGGCAAAGTTGTCATTATGCCCAGGTTTTGGTGATGTGGAGCCCGGGTCTCCAAAGCACCGAAGGCTTTGCAGTTTTTTCTTACATATCACTAAGGGCAAACAAAATACACATTTCTTTTGTGAGAGAGGGGAGTGGATCCCACCTCATTCCTAGAAGATCACCAGCCCCTTCTCCGCTTGAAGATGCCACCCTCAAGCACTTCTGGAAATGTTAAGATCTGGGGGCCTCTGCCGGCTCAACCTCAGAACCAGCTTCTCCAGCTCTTAGTACCCTGTTGTCTACCAGGTGGCAACATACACAAGGACTAAAGAGTTCAGTGAACTTGACAGGTAGAGGCAGTGCCCAGTGACACACAACAGGTGAAGCCTGCTTTTGCAGCTGCATAGACCTAAGGAAGAGAACGGTGTTGAAGGGATGACACGCCCCAGTGGGATGCTAAGCTCCCAGCATGGATCTCCAGACCACAACAACGTGGGTTTCCCCAGGGAGACACCAAAGTGCCTTCTCTCGTCATTCCCCCTCTTGGACCAGGACGAGAAACTAGCATTTACTAAAGAGTTGTTCACACAGACTCATAGACACAGAGAACAGACTGATGGTTGCCAGAGGGCAGAGGCATTGGGGGCCTTGGTGAACAGAGTGAAGGGACTGAGAAGTACAGATTGGTAGTTACGGAAGAGTCACAGGGCTGTGAAGTACAGCATAGGGAATATAATTAATAATTTCATAATTATGTATGGTGCCAGGTGGGCACTGGAAATAACAGGGCGAATGCTTAAAGTTAGACAATCATAAACTATATGATTGTCTAACCACTATGTTGTACGCCTGAAACTAATACAAAATAATATTGAATGTAAACTGTAATGGAAAAAAATGTTTTAAAAAGAATTATTCTTAAGGTATTTACCATATGCACAACTTTGCCCTAGCCCTTCAGAAGGATACAGAGCTACCTACCAGATACTTATTGATAACTGGGTACAAACAAATTGTACCAGATGTAGTAGAGAACTCTAAATAGAACACATATCCCTTTGCTTATTCAGTTTGTTCATCCCAAGTAGAAAATAAAATACAGACCAGAGAACAGTTCAGTAAAATAGAGCCACTATGTTGAAACATGAGGCCCAACTCTAAGAACTTCACCAAGACACTGCGTGATTTAGTGCATGTTACTTGAACTGACAATGTGGTGTGAAGACAAGGGGCAGGAGGTCACCGTAGACTAGTCCAGCCTAGTTGAAAGCAGGAAATGAATAAAGCTTCAGTGGCTAGTAATCTCTTTTGCGTGGAAATTTACCAGGGCATTACGAAGCTCTTATACCCTGGAGATCATTTTCAGGAGGGCAGTTTGAGAAATCTAACGAGCCCCCTTGTCTAGCTAAGAATACCAGGTCACGTGCTCAAAACCCCAAAATAGTATAGAAGAGCATTGCTATATGTCAAAATGAATGAAACGGGCTCAGTGCCACATGAGTTTAAACAGGGGTAAGCTCAAGTTTAATTTTCTTCCAACCAGTATAAATGTGTGGCTTTTTTTTAAGGAACTTCTTCTTTGGTAGGTTTCCTCCTTGCATACACAGATGCTTTTTTTTTTTTTTTTTTTTGCCAATACTGTATAGATTGAGGACCTGCAGGCCATTACAGTTATAACCTTTCCCTTCTGTTCTTCAGATCAGTAGCTAGGAAGTTGGACTACTAGGAAGTTTGCCTTATTATGCCATATTTCATATTCATTGCACAACACTCACTTCCTGTTGCTCAAACAAGTCTCCTACTAACCTCTGCTAAAAATGTCTTTATTAGCTAAGATTCAGATCTACATTCAATCAAAAGAGAGAGAGAGTTCGTGCTTGAAAGAATTCTTTTCTTAAATATACCATACATCAGACATCATTTGCAGGTATCTAAACTAATACGATTCTGCGCAGAGAGAAATGCAAAGTAGATGGTCTCACCACAAAATCTGATTTTATTGCTATCATATTGCACTTATTGCCACTCATCTCAACCCAGAAGATTAATATGTGCACCAAAGTGTTTTCTTTGAAACTCTTGTACACTTACAGCTCTTATACCCTGGCTATAATATACAAATATAATTATATAATATTATTTAGAACTAAACACTATTAAAACCACTCCATGCATCAAACTGCCTTAAAAATGCAGTCAGTCCCTTGTCGGGGTCCACAAGGAAGTGACCCACCATAATTACCATGTGCTGAATCACTGACCACTGGGGCATGGCCCATGTCTTATATTCATTCCACACCAGCATGTTCTAGCATGAACCCAACAGCTGAATGCATTTTTCACCAAATCCCCTTTGTATGTACTCTTTTCAAGTGATCAGATGAATTGCTTTTATAAAAAGTTTAATGTGATTCTACATTATAATCTCCAGATTCATCATTCCTGTACAGCATAATAAATGTGTATGTAATTACATTTATGATCTATTTTCATTTATCTCCCCCACACACACATTGCCCATCACACAATAAAATATCTTAAGACACTTTTTAAAATGTGCTTGTCCTTTCCACACAGAACCAAACAAAGATACGGAAGCTGGAAACGCACCACCAAAAGGTGAGTGGAGGGAGAAAGAATGAGGCTGAACCCAATAAAGTCAGAAGCAGAAAGAGGTCAGTGATGATTGCCAGGGAGACTGCACGGAGTTTCCTGGCGTTGTCTTCCATCAGGGTGGTTAACCCCTTGTTTTCATCTTAGCTGCACAACCCAATGGTGCTTTGATCAGTTTTCATTACACTAACTTTCTAAAAGAAAAACAGTAATGATTAAACAACATCACAGCACTTGTTGAGATGCCAGCAAATTAATGAGTACTTTTCTGTTTCCAGTGTGTATTATATAGGAATAGGTATGTCTGGATTACACCAATTTTGGAAACTTATCTGGGTTGCCCAGGTTTTACTTTAATTAAATGTTTTCATGTGACTGTGGAAACTGTTCTAGGGTTCATTAATCATTTTGAAGGCCAGCATCTCATTTTGTAACACTATATATTAATGTAGATCTATATAACGATTTATGTAGATGGACAAGACAACCTTAAGCAAATATCACATTGCTCATTATTGATTTGGAAATTCATTTATTTCTGCAATATTACTCTACTTTTACTTTACATGTGCATAGTCTAGTTTTATTTTTATCTTTTTAGGTAGTTTAGTTTTAAACCATGGGTGATCTTTATTACATGGATCCATGAAATACTAATTCCTTTGAGTCATGGAGGAAGTCACTGTCATTTCTAACCATCATCTTTAGCTAAGGAGAATTAGTTTTCTACAAAAGAAATTCTTGACAGAGGCAGATTTGACAATTCTGCTTTATTTGTTTGTATCATCACTTATATGTTTATTTTTTTATTTGTGTAATGAATAACATTTTAAATTTTGGAATAAGCAATTATTTCCAGACTACAACAAGATCTTTCTTTCTGGATAGCACTCCCAAGTATGTTAAATCTCTTTGTTCTTACCATGCCATATTTTTCACCTAATTCCTATGATATTATTGTCTTCTATACATTAGTAAAATACTTTTCTTCTTTCTTTCAGTACATTGGACCACTTTTCTTCAACTAACTTGAACTGACACTATCATAAATGAACACATAATTTTGTAGTGTACTCACTTTGTCCTTGACCTTCAGTGGCTCCCATGGAGAGTAACCTGAATACTAATCCTGGCCGCATGAGACACAGTCTGAAGGTTATTCGCTTATGGAATGTAGACAGTGCAAACTCCTAGAACTCTTCCATGAGATGGGTTCAAGGATGTTTGGACATCTGGCTGAAGTTATTGTAACATTATTCTCTACAAAGCTGATGGCATACACCTCTGTTTCCAAATTTGGAAAGGTGTTTGGGCCAGGTTCTACGACTCAACTAACAAAGAAGATGATGTGATCCCAGAGGGCCAGCTGGCAAAGTTAAAACAAAGTCTGTGCCTTATCCTTAATATGAAAAGTCATCCAATTATATTTGTGTGCTTACATGAGAAAATGCTTTTCTGTATATTAAAGTCAACCAACCAAGCAAACAGTCAATCAGTTGATAAAAACTTCTTTGTGCAAGACACAGTTTGATGAAAGATCAAGATGAGATGACTGGCGGGGGGGGGGCGGTGTCCTGATTAGCGGCATTTTTTTCCTGACATTTGCAGCAATCAACCTGAGATGACTGGCGGGGGGGGGTGGTGTCCTGATTAGCGGCATTTTTTTCCTGACATTTGCAGCAATCAACCAAGGCCATGGCCCCATGTAGTCACATGCCCAAGTACATAAACTGCCATGTATCTATTTTCTCTACATGCCTAGGAAGAAAATTAATTTAGGATAGAAGGTGATATCCCTAAATAAAGAAGGTAGGTAAGTGGAAGTTGTTTCTAAATATATAAACCTCTCAGCTACTACCCACTTTCATCAAGGACAGCAAAATTTCAAAGAAAATGCTTAAGCAAAAAAAAAAAAAAACAGACACAATAATGTATGTATGGCCATGATTGAGAAAGAAGACTTTCACGAGCATAAACAAAATTGACAACCCTCAGTCCATCTAACTCAATTTCAACCATTCAGCTTGGGTTTCACTCCTTTATACAGCTTTCCCCAGACTTGCATCTCCCCTTCCTCCTGATTTCTCTTGGACCTATTCCCTCTGTCCGTCAGTCACCCTTTTCTCTGCCTCATCACGTATTAATGGTTCACTTCTTTCCCTAACAGGCTGTATAAGCTTTTTGACAGTTGGGCACCATGTCTTAACACCTCTTTGGGCCCCTCATCTCATTTTTCCTAGTGTCTGGCAGAGAGCTGTACAAAGTGATCTCCTAATAAGTACCTGTGGAATGAATGAACAACGGAATTTTCATGCCGGCTCAGCTGCTGATCACATAGACAATGACAGTCTAGACAGAGTTTTATTTCCATTTGCTGGACAGGAGGACGACCATCCCATGCACACTCAATAATGAGCTTCAGAGTGAGACAATGATACTGGCCATTGAGAGCTCTTCCCCAAAACAGAGAGATAATGTAAGACCAACCCAGTTAAAGCTATTGAAAATGGTCATGCCTAGATATTAGTGCATTTTTACATGTTAATTAGTCCTCTAATTACTTAAAGTATATTCAGTTAATAGCTCCAGGACTGTCAATGTTGAGAATATTATTTAAAGCAGCACAGCCTTACTGTCATTCCTACATTGTCTGAATCATTCTGTGACAACCCAGAAATGTTCTGAAAACATCTGTGTAGCCACTGAATGTGGTTTGGTTCTGATGTCAATCTTATATAGTAGCACTTGTGAGTAGATTTGCTAACTTTTTATATTTACTAAGAGTCTCTGTCTGGGAAACAGCTGGTTTTCCAGGATGGGGTTGTGCTATTTGTTGATCGGCTTGTTTGTTTGCTTGTCTCTGGACTTATTCATCCAGCTCTCCTATTCCTTAATACTGCCCACTTTGTCCTGGGATTGAAACAGTAGAGATGACAATAATAATAAATAAGAAACCTGTGTTTAAGCAAACAGGAATTTCCACGTGTAAATAAATGTCCTTTCAGATCATGCCGGGAGACAATGTCCTTACAGAAATAAAGCTACCAGGACTTAGGACTCTTCCAGAATAATGATGGGTAGCAAATCAATAAGATGCAAAGTACAAATTATTTTTTTTTATATCCCCATCGAGGCCAAAGAACTGTCCTTTATTGGAGCGTTCATTTATTCAGCAGGTATTCAGAGGCAGCTATGGTGCCAGGTTCTGAGTCCTGCTGTCCTGGAGCTGACTTCAGGGAGCTCTAGAGAAGAGAACAACCATCAGCAGAACACAGTGGGTTTCAGCTTTGACAGCAGACAATTGTGGGGGGGGGGGCAAGATAATGTAGGTGCTCAACTGGGATCATGTGATCTTCTGGTCCATCAGTATGGTGTGTGTGAGTGTAGAGTGAGGAGAACACCTCTCTTCTGTGCCTTAACAATGAACGGGCCCTGTGGGAAGTTTCCAAACAGGTCCTGTGGGTGGTTGCAGATGTGCCAGTGACATTGGGGTCAGAGATTACTTTGCTGATCAGTACTCATTTTAATGCCTAAGCTATGATATAGATATATATTTTTTCAATTTTTATTTTTGTGTCTTATTAATCTATAGTCTGTATATATCTCGGTAAGCCCAATTGGGATACTTACTGATTCTTTTTATTTTTCTTCCAGAAAAATAACTGCTTTTGATAACCGTGGCAAGAGAAGTAAACCTTTCTTTTCCCAGGCAATAACCATCATAAATGAATGCCGTGCATAGTAAAGATCTCACATAACTTGAGTTGAAGAATCTTTCTTTTGGTGTGAGTTTGGGCAGCAGAGGATGAAGGGACTCAGCAGAGGGCCCTGAAAATTTCTCTTAAATAATATGATTTTTTAATTTAAAATATGATTAAACTTTTTTTCTTCATTTAGGTCCCTTTGCATCTACAGTAGAATGATATTCATGCTTCTTCCTAGCATTCTAAAATATTTTTCTGAAATTTTACCTCCAGGAATCAGACAACTGTCTATGAAAATATTGCTGTGCTTTATATTTCTTTGTAATGAACTTTGTTAAAATTAAAATCACCATGTTTTTAATTCTAAGACAAAACCATTATACAACACAACACCAGTTTAATAGGTTTGGGGGAGAAAAATTACTAAATAAACATATTTATGGTAAGATGAATCCTGATTTCAAAAATATCAACATGTGAAGGCATATGTCTTCTAGTTACAAAAATAAATTAATCAAATGCCTCAACACATGATGGACTAGTGTTAGCTGTTGATATTATTGTCTTCCATATATGGTTGTTGCATAGTTGTTATGTTTGGTCATGTATGCCAATAATTACTAAAACTGGTTACCCTTCTTGAGGAATTCATAATCTGTCTAAGTCAAATCAAGTATTCAACCAAGGCTTGTTTATAGTCACATGTATTTTAATTTCATATGCTTTTTGACCTTTATTCTAAAATTCCAACAACAATCCTAAGTTTGTGTTCCAGAAAAAATGAATTTAAAAAGGCAATTTAAATCAGCCACAGGTAGAAGTTATTTTACGCTTAAGAGAGTATGAAGAATTATAAGAACGTAAATGTTCTATTATTGCTGGAAGTCTCTCCCTTGAATTTCAGATTTCATGTGTCCTCCCCTAAAATCCCAGGCTTGAAATAGGAGACCGAGTTCCTTCTCTTCTTTCCGGGCATTCTTCTCTGGGAACTTCAGTTGTTTAAAGAATCCTTTTCACGGTTTTACAAATACTATTTTCCCATGACTTGAACACAGATAAAATTCTGCCTCGATAGTGTTTCCTTCTGTGTAGCTTAGAGAGAGAGCTCTGCTGTCCTGGGCCCACATCTTCACTAACGCTACATTCTCAAAACAACGTGGTCAGTTTTAAATAGAAAAAAAGAGAAATTATGACTTACACAGCATATATTTCCTGCTTTGTTTTGTTTGAAAACGTTCTTTGCATGATTCCACGCCTTTCACATGTGTGCCATTGAATTAGGCACAATCCAAAAGATTTGGATATTCGGTTTCCCTTCTGGCAATAGAACCTGTTTTTCCATGGTAAAGAAAACAATGAAACATTTCATTTTAACCCAATTCAACCTGGCAACTTTCCAAGAATTTCAAGTTGGCATCCCCACATCTTAACTACATTTCTTAATCTGAAGGGAAGGATGCTTCAGATTAAGGACCAAAGATATTTCTAAAAGAAGGGAAAGTGTAAACTTCTCAATTATATTTTCCAGCACTCTAGTAAATTTGGAAAAGTATTTACAAGAAACCATATATTGCCAGTTGAGAAGGAATTGCTGTTTGGAAGTAAAGTTGGGTCATCCAGATCATTTCCTGAAGCTCTGAGGCACTGGTTTAATATGTGGTGCCTTAAGAATCTGGATAATTGTGCATGTCTCCCCAAAGAACTTTAATGTTTAGTGGACATTTAAACTACTTATTCATCGACATTTTGCTTATCTCTTCATTTTGGTTTTATGAAAATACGTGAATACTCTTCTCAATCATTCAGCATTCTCAACAATGAATTCAGGGATTCATTATACACTGTGCACAAAGCAAGCTGACCACAAAATCAATTTAAAATGAAGTGTTCATTTGACTCAAAATGGTTCTAGTTTCTAGTTTATTATGTAGTTTCTACATAATAAAGGACGTTCCTTTCTAGGTAGGATTTGTTTGAGTTTTAAAAGTTCTTTTTCAAGGATTTTTACAGGACTTAAAATCAAGATTCTTTACATATTTCAGTAAAGTCTTCAAATAAGATACAAAAATATAATACTAATATTGAATTAAATTTATGGGAAATAATATGTTTAAGTTGCAAGATCTTTCATTTTTTGTTACATAAAATTTTAATTTTCTAACAGTCCTCTGAAATACAGAATTCTGCTTCTAGCTCAGAAATTCCCCAAATGAATAGTTTTGTGGAAAGTTAATGATATTGCAGAAGAAAAGGAAGAATTCAAAAGTGAACTAAGTTTGGGAAATGTTAACTCCCGTATTATTTCTTGTCTCCACTCCCAATGCAAGAACATATTAGCAAATCAAAGGCTTTGAAATGTCTGTCAACAAAAGCACACACACCATCCAATAAAATACAAGCATTTATTTAGCCTAACATTTTCTAGGCTTCTTTGACCTCAGAGAGCTTCCTCTGAAGAATCCTGAATCTCACAGTATCCAGTGAGTCTCCTCTTGGGTTCTGAAGATATAACATTTGATTTCTCTATATGTTGCCCTAGTTATTCTGTAAAAAATAATAAAACGTAACTTTGGTTGAGTTTCAGAAAAGAAATTTCAGGCTAGTAAACAATTTGTTGTAAATATTCTAATAAATTGTACAAAATGTGCTATTTCATCTCAAAGAATTTTTAAAGCACTTTTAAAATTTAAAGTCATGCATGTGTGTTTGCTGTATCCTACTTTACAGAGTCACACAAGTTTGTATTTGCATACAAGTTTGAGATCCACAATTATTCTACTATTTTAAGTACAAAGATTATTATCATGTACACTAACGCTAGTCTTCACGCTTTGGAAGGAGAGGAGCAGAGGTCTGGATAACAAATGCCTACTTAAACAAAGACACTTTACAATTCAGACATTTTCCAAAAAGGAAATACTTGGTGTCTTTGTACATAAACACTCCACAGCATATTTTGAATTTCACAAATGTTCATGAGTAGATATTTTAAAAATTATACAGCATTAGCCAACACCAGTATAATCTTGGGAAAATATTTACCCAATTTCTAAAATCATTACTGGTAAATTTAGTAAATATGATAAATTGATTTATATTAGTTAATGTTGACTTCTGTTTCCTAAATATAGAAAGGAAGTTAACCAAGAGGTTTTTGTTCTCAAACAGTACATACATGCTTTTATGTCTGTATCCAAATATTCACGGTATATGAATTACTCCTGTCATTGACTTCAGTTACAAACTAAGAACTCAAAACCACTTCTATTGTGGATTTCATCAAGGTTAGAATTTTTAGCATTAATTTTTTTCTTAACCTATAATCATATAAAACACTTACATAGAGTTCCAGTTTTTAATTTACATTTTCATTTGGATCACCCTACTCTCTCATTCTTTTATTTATTTTTCTCTGTTGCCCCAAATACTCAAATTTAATCTCTTAGGTACCAAGTCTACTCGGGCTCCCTCATCAATTGAAAGCGTTTTGTGTAGTTTCTCCTCTTCTTTTTCCAGATTTCTCTTTTCTCAGGATACTTGGGATGAAGTCCTTTTCTCCTTGACTTTGTATACCTATTTCTTGTTTCAGATGAAGAGGAAGGCTCCCCGTCTATTGCCCTGCCTCCAGGTTAGGATGACCCCCAAACCCTTCTTTCCCCCACTCTGTAACTTAGTATTAACTGACCATAGAGGAAAAGAAAGGTGACCACAGAGCACCTTAATCAGACAAGGCACAGCACAGGGGCACCAGATTTTGCCGCCGCCAGAGCCAAGAGGGAAAATGTTACCTTCAATGGCAACCTTTTTTTTTTTTTTACATGAGAACATTAAAAAAAACCAAAAATTTTGTTTGTAAAATAATACTTTCAAATCTCCCATATAAATTTTAGAGGCAAAAATGTTTGGTTTCTACTTGCAGCTGTATATCCTATTTCCCCCTGCTCTTTAGATATTTTGATACTTTAAATATTGCTATTGTTTTTGAAACAAGGCACGTATTTTTAGAGATGCTTTCACAGCTGAAGCTCTACTGAGTTTCCATTCAAGCCAACTTCTAGTTTTCTTCTCCCCACCATCAGAAGAGGGTTTGAGGGCTCCAAGGAGGTTGAAGTCAGCACCTCCTTTGCACCCCCTTCCTCCTGCATCATCCAAATCACCCTTTTCTTTCAGGTCTGGGCAGTCGGGCCCTGGAAAGAAAAGATTCAGGTGAGCAGATGCCTGGAGAAGGGCATCCCGAATCTGTCCTAATACAATCACTAATGACCTCATTTCTTGAAGCTGCACTGATTCTAATCTTTGTTTCATTCAGTTTGTAGCTCTGAGAGCCATCTTTCCATGACATTGCTTCTTACAAGAACACTAATGTATTGAGAAACAATTAATTTTGCATGATATACACAAATTCAGCAATCTAGCTACAGGCACCAAGGTTTGTTTTATTACAACTTTCATTGTTAACATTTGACAAATACACAGAGAGTGCAGAAGTTAGATGATAAATCACATTTTTATAGAACTTTACATACAGAGGATTAAAAAAAACCCTACACATGCACACAGTCAGCTGTGCTACGGTTCTCTGAAGTAATGACTTCATTCAACAAATTTGTGTTGAGGGCCTACTATGATCTTTTTATGGGCTTCTTATGGGCCAGGCATTTGTAGATATAAAAATGCACAAAAGAGTAAATGTGTTCTAAATGTGAATGACCATAATTCACTATTATTATTAATACTGCAGACACCCACAACATAAAACTTTAACATTGATTGTGTTATTTAAAAGTTGTGTAATCATGTGATTACATTGCATAATTTCATTGTGAAAATGATGGTCTCTATGGATAGAAATACTAAGCATGATTGACACATGACAACTAAAATAACTAAAGCTACATTTCCTTCCTTTTGAAAAACATTAACAGGTAGAGTTGGCGACCCATGCATTTTTTTCAGTTATTTAAGAGGCCAACATTGAACTTCTTTGAAATCAGCTCTCGGAGACAGAGGGAATATCTACAGTTCTCTCCTACCCTCCTCAGTGGAGCTGACTGATGTTAATCCAAGCTAAGCCCTTGGAGTGCAAACTAGGAAATACAAAATAAACTTCATTTCCAGGTTCTCTCTCTTCATGGAAAAGCCTCAAAGAGTTTTTTTTTTCTTGCTGCTTTTCTGGGCTTTCCCCCCCCTTTCAGGACACTCCTAGTATCTTTGAAATTTGTACCAGTAGGTCATGATCTATTACTGAATTGTCAACATTTGGCCTCAGCCATATGATCCCAATAGAATTATCTAATTATACAACGGCAAAGAATTTAGAAATACTGGGCCATACCTGCTTGTCTGGTCCTTCCCAGCTGACCTGCAAACTGGCCCATCCCATTCTTTTGTTGTAAGATATGGCCTAATAGTCAGTCACCTGCAAATTACCGAGAGTAGTGCTTTAATATACTTCCCATTACTTATCTGTTCAAGGTCAGGCAGGATGGAAAAATAGAGGAACTATGGCTTCCAACAAAGACAGAGTAACAACCTACCTGAAAAGCTTTACTATTTCTAGGAATTAGGAAATGTCCCTTTATCCCATCATGGAAGAGACATCCCTGTAAGAAGGGAATCTGTCACTCTCTACCGATGGCTGCAGGGGAGATGGATGGAAAGAATGATGTTACATTTATCCAGGTGGATTAGACAAAGAAAAGCTTCAGCATCGATGAGAACAACAAGCCCAGGTAAGTCTGCCTATGACGAACTTGGCCCTGAAATGACCCTTTTTCTTCTTTCTGCTCATTAGAGTGGTCTCTTGGCGAATCACCTGCCACAGAGGAACAAGTCAAGCAGAACACCAATTCTGAGCTGTCCACCCTGTTCGTGGAAAAGCCTCAGACAGGAACAGTGAAAGTTGGTGAGTGCCAACCATCAAATCCTGATTTTAAAAGAAAATGCAGGCGGCATTTATACAACATAAAATTAAACATTGTGAAGTGACCACCCAGGAGCTATTAATACACTTAATATGTGACCACTACCACTATTTAGTTCCAAAACATTTTTGTCAACCCAATCAGAAACCTTGTACCCCCATTAAGCAGTCACTCCCTATTCTCCCTCCCCTCAGCCTCTGGTAACCACTAATCTGCTTCATCGCTATAAATTTCCCTATTCTGGATATTTAATATAAATGAAACTACACAATAAGTGACCATTTGTGTCTGGCTTCTTTCACTTAGCATAATGTCTTTGAGATCCATCCCATACTGTAGCATGAATCAGTACTTCCTTTCCTTTTTATAGCTGAGTAATATTCCATTGTATGTCTATATCAAATCCTGCTTTTATAACCTGAAAAGTTGGGTGAAGCTATCATTTCAGCACACTTCAGCATGTAGGAGTCTAGTGCCTGGAGCCTGGAGCCGGGTTGCATAGAAATCAGTTTCATCTGTTTAATGGGGATGATATTACCTGTGAGGTACTTAGAACAGTGTGTGATATAAATTAAAGCTCTGGGTCACCGTTTGCTGTCAACAACACACCTCACTCTGTGAGATGATCACAACCCTGTACACACGCTAGATCATAAAGTATAGCATCTCAGAAGAAGCTAGTTGAACAGATGGTTCAACTTTGGAAATATCCATTTAAGAATATCAATTACACATCTGTTAAAAGATTGTTCTGAACACTGAGTATAACATGTGAGCACTCAGAACTTACAATTTTAATTTCTAGCCAACAAGAAGTTAAACAAACAGATACTCACAAATGCCGAGTGCCTGTAGGAAATAAACAGGGTGGTGGATTAGAGAACCACATGGGGTCCAGGAATTTGAACAAAAAATTCTTTATAGAAAATACACTGGGGTCAGAACTAGTCTTTGACTCTTAGCCAAACACTGTGTGCATGAGCAGATGGCTGACTCGAAGTTCGCTTCCATGTAAATGGAAATGTTTTCTCCCCTTGTTTTCAGAAGACACCAAAATGCTGGGCTGGCTGTGGGACTAGAGTTTTCTTGTATTTAGGGTCTAATCAGTAATCTATCAATTCAAATAGATACACAAGTTTATCTAAAAATAATCAGCTTCATTTAGTCATATTCCTATAATTCCAGGAATTATAGAAAAGATTTGCATAACAGGAAAGATTTGAAAAAAATTATACACTGTATATACCTACATAAATCTGTGGGTTTTTTCTCATTTTTATTTCATATATGGAATATAAAACCAAAGAGAAAATGATTTCTATTGATTAAACCATTACTCCTTTGTTCCATAAACCTCAAAAGCAGAACAAGTTGGAGTATCTTAAAAATGTCTAGGGAACTCATTCAAAAAAGTCAGAGCCATTTCATTGTACAATTTCAGGGGTACCAGCCACACAATTGGGAACATAGTACAACCCATGTACCTCCTTCTAGCTGAGAGCAAAACAAATGACAATTTTTAAACCACAGTCTGAATCACTTGTGCTTTTTCTAGGTGCAAATATCAGCTTCATAGCCAAAGTCAAGGCTGAAGATCTTCTTAGAAAACCCAGTGTCAAATGGTTTAAAGGGAAATGGATGGACCTGGCCAGCAAAGCTGGGAAGCACCTCCAGCTGAAGGAAACCTTTGAAAGACAAAGTCGGGTATGGCCCCAAACTCCTGGCATAGCAGTCTGGCTAGCTTGTTCCTTCTGTGTGGGTAGAAGGTCATTTTTAGGTTTGGCTTTGAGAGATTTCAGTCTCAGAAAATGTCCTGGGGTTATCATTCCTGCCGTCTACTCTTAGCATGCCTGCCCTGCTATGCCCAGGATCTGTGGAGCACACCGACCTCACCTCTGCTGAGAGCATCATCCTGGAATCCCCAGAGACACACGTGTCTTTAGCCACGGCCAGAGAATTTGAAAAATTACTGAAATGTGATGGCATCTTTCTGTTAGCAAGGTAGGACTGAAATGTGTCTGGATGCATTTTGTTGCAGGTGTACACATTTGAGATGCAGATCATCAAGGCCAAAGAGAACTATGCAGGAAACTACAGATGTGAGGTCACCTATAAGGATAAGTTTGACAGCTGTTCATTTGATCTTGAAGTACATGGTAAGAGAGTGTTCTTGTTTGGATAAATGTGATTTTTTTCTAATGGGGTATAAGGGCATGGAGGAGAAGGCCATTTAATACCATGAGATTTTGAAAATACGATTTTCTTTAAAATGGTGTGTGTTTCTGATTGTGATAGTTGCAGCAAGCCTGCCAAATTAGATAGTTATGAACCAATTTATTAGTGGCAGTTGGGGATTCTATTGCCAGGTACCTCTTGCCCATGCCATCTATATTTCTTCAATCTCCCAAATGAGGGTTAATGCCATTTTTTTTTGCTGCTGCTGAATGTACCTGTTTCATTGCACTCACTTATTACCCCTCAGGTGTAGTGATGAGTTAATATGATCCAAGGATGGCAGGATACCAGGTGGAAGGGAGAATTTCTCTTACAAGGACTAACACCAGATATGACAGTTCTCCATCCATGTGTTCTGTGTCCTGCCCAGAATAAATTTAATAGGGATAAAGATAAAGGAGACCATGTAGAATGGGGCAAAAAAAAAAAAAACCTACTTCAATGAGCACACAAAGGGAGAGGTGACTTGGCAGCAAAGATAATAAACTTAAGATGAATCCAAAATGTGACATAGTGACAAAAGACAAAGCTGGCGTCATTTAAAACTGGGTCATTAGAAGTGGCATAGAATTTAGGTTTAGAAAATGATACCACTCTCTGTAACATACCAGCTGTTTTGCCTCTGGAGTAATGTCTTTGGCCATTGGCACTGTACCTCCACAAGGGTCCCTTCTAAAGTAGGGTGACTAGGAGGATGGAGCATCCAGAAACCTCGCCCTATTCAGTGTGGGTGAAGGAAGTCAGGCATCTGTGGTTCATTGTAAAGAGGGGAAGGGCTGTCACACAGAAGGACAAAGCCATTTCCCATGTCTTCAAGAAGTATTTAGGCAGATTAGAGTTCAAATGTGGAAATTATGAGGAGTTGAATTTTGTCTTAACAGTAGATTGAGCTCTTTCAGCACAGCTCGGTGGACACACAGAAGGTTGTGAGATCCCATTCCGAGAGCTGTCAGGCCGAGGCTGTGTGACCGTGGGTGGAGGAGCTGCAGTCGAGATTTCAGTGTTAAGTAGGAATCTGATTCTGAGCAGCATGTCTGCACCTTGGCCTGGCATCTCTGAGAATCGCCTGAAGGGCTTTATGAGTTTTGATTTCTGAGTGCCCATCTCTGATCTAGTGAATCAAAATCTCCAGCAGGGAGATCAAGAAGCTGCCCCTTTATAAAACATTCTTCAGGTGATTCTAATGGGGCAGGCAGGTGGAATGATAATGGGCGAAGGTAACTCCTAAAGTCCTTTCACTGATTCCATGTGAGGGAGGGTAAGTTACGATATCTCCGCAGCCCAGCCATCCAGCAGAGCCACCCACCCTCCAGCTGGCCTTTCTTCCTTCTGCAGAATCCCCGCAGCCTGGAAAGGAACTGAGCACAACACTGCCTTCCTAATGGTATTTATTCATTGTTTTCTTTCCTTTCTAAGAATCTACGGGGACTACTCCAAACATTGACATCAGATCTGCTTTCAAGAGAAGGTAACTTCGAAAGGGGACCCTAGGTAGCTTTTGTACAACACGAAAGTAGATGATTTTCAAAACCTACCTTCTCTTCCTCCACCCTCTAGAGTTCCAAATGAGACAGACTTTTTCACTGTAGTTAAACATATCATATATTCAAAACTTAGTGTTCTAGAAAAGCCATGGGCTTACGGCCAAATCAAGTACAATGTGTACTGATCATTCTTAAGACTATTGTCATAATGAAGCTCTCATTTTGGCAGGTTTCACAGTTGCCATATAAAAACACACTTTTGATCTCTTCATATGTGGCTTCCTCCTTAATTGCATTATTTCCAACCAAATGGCCGAAAAAGATATGTGTAAAGGTTCACATCTTATATAGAACCAGTTAATTGATATCCAAAAATTTACATTGCTTTTCATCTAGAAATCACTTTTGGAGCTATTAAACCATGTGCCCACAAAACCACAATTAAGTAGCTATTTACTACAGTTAGCACTATTTAAATATTGAATTATCCTAAATGAATGATCACTGAGTTTGTGGAATAAAAATCACTGTAAAAAGAAGATATAATTGCCTACTTGGGTTATTTGCAACTACCAAGACTAAAAATCAGGAGGTCAAGGAAGAAAAATGAAAAATGTTTCCTAGTTTACATGAAGGGTAACTAACCCTTTCCTGAAATTGATGTTTTCAAAATGTAAATTCCTTAATGAGAGCAAATGTTTTTGTCCTTTGTACAATTGACTGCACATACAGTTTTGTTAAATAAAGAAAGGCAGCCCAAACTATTATAAAACGATAATTTAATCTGCCAATAAAAGGCATATTTTCTTCCCAAATTATTAATAAATGAAAATTTTAATTCCTTTAAAAAGACATTTAATATTACCTGATGGGTCAATTGGCATTTTTTTAAACTCATAACTTTCAAATCCACTTGGTTTCCTTAGTGTCCAGAAAATGCAGATGTATGAAACTAAGCTCAAACCATGACAAGCACATTTCAGGAGAGAGGAAAACACAATTTACCAAAATCTGTGCTTTAAAGGAATAGAAATGTGTTTACTTCAGAAGGTCTGCTCCAAATACCTGCTTATAAACAATTTTGAAAACACATCATTTGAGTCCAATTAGTGTGACTTACGTGTTATACACACTGTCTTTAAACTCTTTCCTTAGAAACCATAACTGACATTTGCAAAGAGCAGGAAACAAAATCATCATTAAAAAGTTAAACATGTAAGTAAATACGTAGTGCCATTTAAGTGTAAGCTCCATAGCTTCTATTCAGAGTCTATAAGAAATCAAAGATGGCTACATGCCTAATTTAAGATGCATTTCTCTACAGGAAAGCACTTTTAAAAATCCCTAGCATTAGAAGGCTCATGAACAATTCAAATGCAGAATTTTGAAAAATCCATTTTAAAAGGGGGATTTAACTGTGAACAAGAAAATGAAAAACTTGTAATTATTTCCCTCTAAAACAGAAAGGAATGTGTCTTTTAAAAAGCTCTGCACTACTTCATTTTTATGATATGTTGGTATCGTATTATCTGGTTCATCTGTTGGTAGACACAAAGAGGTGACCTTTGAATATAAGCGTTGCACTTATATATTTGAACTGGTGTACTTTGTCCTCCGAGCCAATCTCTGTTTGACATGAACGACAGAGATCAGCAAAAGTTCTTTGCTTTTCTCACAGGAATGTTTCTAGATCCCCCCAACTTGCAAAAACAAAGTACTTTGTGTTGTTTGGCTTAGAGTGCATTTGTGTTACTCCACTTTAACACAAATCCGAGCTGTTACATATATGCAATCTACAGAAATGTGTCTTCTGAAATCGTAGAGTAACACAAGCTCCTCATTTTCCACAAGGACACACTCCAAAAGTTTTAAATGTCACTTGTGTGAAAAAAAATAGTTTGTGTTGATTCAGTCCCATGACTTGTGTGCTGGTACAAAATTGCATATACACTATATGTAGAGTGTTTGGGGGAAACTGTTGTGTCTGTCTCTCAGCATTAAACCCAGATTTGCTTTTCTTTTGTTAATGACAGTGGAGAAGGTCAAGAGGATGCAGGGGAACTTGACTTTAGTGGTCTCCTGAAACGTAGGTGAGAATCAAGTGATGGAGTGAGGAGCTATGGTCTGGAAATCTTTTAGATACCCACTCAGAGAAGTCCAGTTTTAAATAGATGTGTTTCAAAGAATTTCTTATATCTTAAAACGTGTTTTGCTTATAGAATATAACAGAGTTGACTAAGAAAGAGAGAGAAACAACAGCCTACTAATCTGTTTAAGATGTTAACTGACGCTTTTAAATTTTCTTCCTAAATGTTTTATGAGTCTTTGCGTATTTTCTTAGCTGGGGATGAAGAAATTGAAAACTGAGACAAAAGATTTAAATATCTAAAAACATCTACATTCTCTCATTTTAATCATGATTCCCTGCAATGACTGAATTAAACAAAATCTCCATTTTCCTGAAAAACCAATTTCACAATTTTGGTAGACATCTCTGCAAATATACAGGGGTCTGGCAGAAGTAAGGCCTGCTTGAGTGTGGTTGGTAGGTTAATAATATGGGTGTAATAATTTATAGTTTTAATTTGCACATATCACCTAAATGTCACATGGTGTGCTTCAGTGTGATAGTTATTTTACAGAATTACATGCTTATGATTTTGTAATAAAAAAATTTGCAGTAAAAAAAGGGGGCATTATTTTTGCCAGACCCTGTATTTTAAAGGCAGACCTACTTTAATATAGCATTTTTTATTTACTGCATTTCATCAAATCTAAGCCACCATTAATTTTAAGATATACTGTATTTCATAAATCACTGAGCAATAAAATTGCTCCAAAAAGTTTATTATGACAAGCTATTGGTTATAAATACATCCTTCTTCCAGAGATGTTTAAAATGTTAATAAAAATGTGCATTTTAGAAGAGATAAACTATGGTAGTAAAATGGAAATAAATAGTATTATCACTCACACCCTTTAACACTGTTCTCTCTTGCAATAAAATTTCTATAATTTCATCACAAATGTTTAGCACATATCATTTTATAGGATTTCTGTCCACATAGTTGCTTATATATAATCACATCATATGTGATATTATATTTGTTACATATAAGTTACATATATCCAGATATTTAGTGCAGAAACAACAAAAAGAAATAGATTTTTGCTGGGACTGTGTTTATCTAGTAAATTTGTGAATAAACAGTAGAACTACAATCCTAAATTAATGATAAATAATATTGATATCAATGTTCATTTAACTTTCCAGATTCACTTTTTATCCCTTTTAGTGCTTGCTGTGGTTATGAAAGGAACACAAGTATAAATTTGCTCGACATCAAATTATAAGTAGAGACAACTGGGCTTGTTATTCTCAGTTTAGTTAGATGCCATAATTCAAGTTTCAATGCATGAAAAACTCACTTAGCTCTAAACATTTAGGTTGAGAACACAAATATTAATAGGTGTAATTTATTAATTGCCAATGGATATGACCCAGTCAATAGACCTTGGCAAAATCAAATAATCTTTCCTCCTTTAGATATTTCAAACAATCATTAGTCTCAATAATATTTATTAATTCCTCAAATTTATTTAAAGCAATAGTATATGAAGTGATCTTAGGTAAGCCTTGCTCTTCCTCATTCTACAGGTGAGAAACTAGAGAGCAGAAATGTTGATTGACTTGCCCCAAGTCACATAACTAGTTAGAGACAGAGCAGGGGCCTAATTCCAAGTTTCCCTTTTCTGAGACAGGTCACTTCCTGTGACTCTGTATAAGAAATATCATTCAGAATCAGCCTCAGATACTGACACTTCAACTTATAATGCAAATTGACACTTAAGAAAACAAGAATTGCGGTGGTTTTCCCCGCCACAATCATTTACTTAACCAGGAAAATACTAAAGGTTGTGTATGTGTGTAGAACACAATGCTACATGTAGTGCGAGGAAAAGAAATACAGTGTCTTCTGGTGGGAGGTATACGGAAAAGGATGGGCACGTATTTGTGGAAGGAAACAATAGTGGTAAAAACATGGACTTGAGTCTCAACTTTACCATTTACAAATTACATGACTTTGCTCAAATTATACCTTCCTCTCTGAGACTTAGTTTCCATGTCGTAAATGTGGAGAATAAAAACTACGTAATAGAATTACTGTGAGAACTAAATGTAAAAGGCATGGCTTGCAGTAGGAGTTGAATATACACTTCCATCAAAAGTGTGGCATTTTTCCCATGAAAAGTTTATATTTGTAAAGAAACAAAATGCACTCATACATGTGTCAATCAATCAATCCATCAAAATGTGGTACAGATTTTTAAATGCCATACTGTGATTAAAAAGGCAAAAGAAAGAAGAATACACTAGTTCTACCAGTAGCTTGCAGAGTAAAACAAATCACCTGATTAATGGTGAAAATGACAAAAGAAAAACATTACTAGAAAACATGGGCAGCCAACATGTCTCCTGTTCTCATTTTCTTTACATCCCCTAATCAGGATTTTGACTCATAAATAGGTTGCTGTTAACATAAGACTATATTCATTAAACATACTGTACTAATCCACCAAAATAACTTTAGAAATCATTGTGTTTTCCTACTAATTTGTGAATTGCATATGTTTTCATTGTGGAAATGACATGTGGTTACCATTTCTACTCTCTTAAGAATCTGTGGCAAAATCCCTATCTGAATAAATATCATTACAACCAACATCTCCAGACAACTAAAGATATCCTTGCCCTGAACAAAGCCAGCATATTTCAAAGAGATATTAACTAAATCCTAGTGAATCTTTTGGGCAGTATCTTGTTATGGGATTTGACCTATATAAGTACTTGAAAGTTTTATTCTACATAAAATTTTTATAACTTCTATGCACTTCACCAGAATTGTCAAGTTATAGAAATTTTGATGTAGATGAAAATACTTTGAATGTTATATAGGTCAATCCCAGTGCTTAGAAGGAATCAGGAATGCCTTTAGAAATTAGAATTTTTCTCCCTACTATAAATTAACATAGCCATGCAGATAAGGCCATCAGCAGCCAGATACATTAAGAAAAGATAATGTTCTGGATGAGTTAAATAAATGCTACAGATGGGAGCCTCGATCTCACGTTCCAGTACAAAAGGAGGAATATTTCAATCTCGCAATCTGGGATCCAGTTAAGTGATGGAGAGAAAAGCAAAAAATAGGCAAGAGGTCATCATTGTTCACACACAAAATCTGATGAAATTAAGAATGTGGTAGAGTGAGGTATATTTTGGTGTCTTAAAAAACATGCCCCCCCAAAATGGCGAGGATGATCAGTTCTATGAATCTACCAACAAAACTTTAAACATTGCACTGAAAATGACTTTTATTACTAGTTTCCATCATGTAGTCACCTTGTAGATCTAATTTATACCTCAGAGTTTGACTTGGGCCTCTTTTTAGCTATTTTAATCTAGTTCAATATCTTTAAGTCCCATTACAAGTGTCAAAAGGATATTTAAAATGTGTGTCTAATTCTTCTTGGCTGAAATGCAAATTTAAAACAATGTATAATGGCATAATATTACAGTTTAGGGACTTACACTGAGGCTGGAATGTGATAAAAATAGAACACTAATAAAGTGGATTGAGGAAACACAGAGAATACATACATGTGTATATACATACACATTTCAATTTCAGTTCTCCAAGACTTCCTACAAAATATTTTTAAAATGTATTTGAAATCTAGACTGCTTTCAGGCAGTAGATTTAGTAGATCTGGTAAATGATTACTGATATTCCAACTTCAGCACAGTTTTCTCAAGCACTTTAATTTCCTCATGTTAACGGAAGGTGTTGTTATTTCAGTGAGATGAAGATAATACTTGTGTCTTGAGTGTCTTCCTTGTTATTGAATTTATTGGGGCGACACAGGTGTACAATTCCACCACACATCATCTGTCCAAGGCATTGTGTGTTCACCATCCCAAGTCAAGTCTCTTTCCAGTGTCTTGGGTTTTTAAGAGGCACATTTTTCTAATGGTGTTGTCCAGAGCTTTCCATAAGGGTTGCTGGTGGACCAAAGACCTGTCACTTCCTTCCACTTTCCAGATTAGCCTCAACATCCTCTGCCGCTGGGTAAAAAAACTTCCATGACAATGGAAATTAGGTATGCAGAAGTCATCCTGGCCTAATGTCACCCTAAACTCTATATTAATATTTATATTCTCCTCCCCCTTCCCGTGATTGCAATCCAGCATTTCCTCAAGAAACTGGAACAAGTGTAATTCATGTGGCAATGCAAACATATGTAACCCATCACTTGCTAACACAATAGCATGAGTCTGTTTTCACAATGATGTTTAAGATGTGTTGACCAGTGTTCCTGGAAAATTATATCCAAACCAGCACTCTTCACAGTAAGTAGCCACTGTAATATTTCCAAAGTAGTCTCATAAAAAACCATCAATTAAGCTTAAACAAAATCAGGACTATTTAGCCAGTGAAGGAAATCAACTTAAATTATATTTTGCATTTACACTAAGTGTCTTTTCCTAAAGAGTCCTTATTCCTGAGTTTTTGTTTCATTTTTTTTTGGTTTAAAATAAGGGTGGACAAGTGCACTTTAAATCTTATAATTTTTTTTAGCTATGGAGGTTCTTTACATGTTCTGTATATTCTTTAGTCAGTGATCAAAATTTGGGGTCAGAATTGTGATAATTACACTAGGAAGCCATTATCTCCTTGTTTATATAACCCTTAACCATTTGCTTTAAAGTTTAACATGTATATCTTTATGACTATGCCAAAATTGCTCCCTAAAAATTTCAAAATAGTACTTTAAAATGAAAAAAATTGGGTCTTACTTTCCTTTTCCATGGACAATTTAGGAAAAAAATTATTTAAAAAAACATATGTATCCACGAAAAACAAACCAACCTAAAAAACCTCTGTGGCAGCTTTAAATATTTTTGCCCCCAAACAGCCAGAAATGGCTAACGTACACATTTACTAATATGGAAAGAAACATGCAATTTGCAAAATCCAAAGATGTGTGTGCTGTACGTGTTCTGTCCCTACATATAGATAGATAGGCGGTGTGTACACCATTGAAAGTGGAGACTTTTCATAGACCTATATCTAAAACTTCCAGTTCTTAATTTTCAAAACTTTTTCAGTACCCATATCCTGGGTGAAAACTGATTTTAAGTTCCTCAAAATCTCGCCTCCCAGACTTTTAAATTGACAATAAGAAAAAAAGTCTTAGGCTAGTTCCCAATGGCCTCCACTCCTCTTTATGTTGTGCTTCTCACTAGGAAAACGAATGTTAATATTAAGTACACGTGTCTGATTTTTAACTATCTGGAAGCTTCCCTGAGACCTCAAGGAAAGCCAATAGACTTTCTTCTCAGCTTAAGTACTCAGACACTAAACAGAACTTGCAACACTGAACCGAAAAATTCATAGAGTAACTCGACCTTTCCGGTCTTTAAGGGCCAGTGGGCGGCTGCTAAACTAGGCAATGGTTCTCCCCGGTTAGGGAAGTGAAGCAGCAAGAGGAAGAACCTGAGATAGACGTGTGGGAGCTGCTGAAGAATGCGAACCCCAACGAGTACGAGAAGATCGCCTTCCAGTACGGTATCACCGACCTGCGGGGCATGCTCAAGCGGCTCAAGCGCATGCGCAGGGTGGAGAAGAAGAGCGCAGGTGAGTCCCCCAGGAGGGCGTGGCCGCAGGGGCCAAGTTCAGTATCCGCGGAAGACCTACCTGTGAAACCTCTGCTGGTGATCCTTCCTCTACTTCGCTGGGTTTGGGGTGGGATATGCGGTCGTCTTGGTTACCTTTGGCTTCAAGTGAAATAGTTCGCTGGCCCCGCACAGCACTGGCTGCTCAAGTAACAGACAAGCTACTGAAGGTTTAAGGTAACACGGTTGCATTCAAATACTACCATACTGCTTATAATGGAATATTAACTATTCCCATTGTCACTGGTAATTTCTCAATGACCCCTTTCTCCAGCCTCCACATCTCCCTCACTCTCGAATTCTTGACTCCTTTCTCTTTATTTTACCGTCATATTCTTGCACCCATTTGAACCGGGTGTGGGGAATTCACTTCTCACACCCAGTAAAGTTATCAAAGTGTTTTGTGAAATAGCCATGCTGCTCCCGGGGGATCTGAAATTGATGCAGTTCGTTGTGGTTTAAAATAACTTTGAAAAAAAAAACACTTTTAAGATGTTGACACTGAAAAAGAAAGAAAGAAATACATTTAAAATTGACTGTTAGCTCTTGGGAGTTTCCCTATACTTGGTCATTGTCAATTACGGTATTATGACGCATCAGGTTAATATATCAATCCTATTATTGTTTTTTGAGTGTTAATATTCAAATAGAATTTTAAAAAATCTCACCATCTCGTTTTAAAAATCTGCCCTTTATTTCTAAACCACCCTGTAAACTGCTTGAGAAATGATCTCAGAGAAATGTAAGAAAGTTTGTTTTTCTGCTGTTCTCAGACACCACTCTCTCAGACTCCCGAAGTTTTATTTCTGAGAGGTGTTTGAGACTGAGTCACAGACCCGTGAATTCTGAAGTGTAGAGCCAAACGGCATCTCTTTTCCCCACACGGGTCTTCTTATTCTGAGTTCTGAATCGATGTCTGGAGGTATGTGATAGACGGCTTTTTTTATTTTATCTTGTTTATTTTATCTTGCTAAAATATGAAGACGTGAGCTTGTTTAAGCAGTAGTATAATAAAGTTGGAATGATGGAAATGCAAGCATGACAGTTTCATGAGGCATTCCACACTTGTAGATGTTTTACAAACTGTCTGAATGAGAATTATTATCTTTAAAATCAGAGAGAAATATGAAATTAAAAAAGATGTTAACTGTCTTTGTTTAGGGCCTTTCAAAAGCAATACTTTTTAAAAACCACTATGTTCTAGGTTATTTTAAACATTTTTGAAATCCTTACTTTCTAACTATATGGGTTATTTTAAATGTGCCACTATTCAGGCAAGTATCCACAATGCAAAAATATCTGATAAGCCTATTTCAATTAGCCAAAGGCATTCAATTTAATCTTATGAGTCATTGAATTTAGCTCATAAAGTCTATGATTAAAGAAATTAATTTGTAACAATGAAGACATACAAATATAATACCAATAATCCTGACAGTAATTATGCTAGAAAGATAAGCATGTTCTTCAAGTTTAATTTCACTTGGATGCTTTATATTATACATTCCCTAAAGGATTAGGACAAAAATTTTTCAAGCCTCTTTCAAGAATTCTTTTCTTATGGTTTCTTCCAAAAACATGTATATTCTCTTTAATTTTTAAACCATTTTAATGTACATAAAACAACAGAATTCTAAAATACGAAGGATAATTTAGAAGATTTCTAATGTTTTTATTCTGAGTCTCAATTTTTCATTTTGTTTGAGTTCTCACACATATATTGACTGTTTAAATTCATAGCCTATATAAATGCATATTAACATAGTTTTGCTTCTTCTCTTTACCAGCTTTTGCAAAAATCCTTGATCCTGCATATCAGATTGATAAAGGAGGCAGGGTAAGGTTTGTTGTGGAATTGGCAGATCCAAAGTTGGAGGTGAAATGGTATAAAAATGGTCAAGAAATTCGACCCAGTACAAAGTAAGTGAGCTTTGCAAATGATTGGTGATAACTGTATAAATCAAATAATAGTTTGACTTAATTTTCTATGAATAAAACAACTTTTTAGTTAAACCTTTGTAATACAAAATCATACAGAGAGAGTAAAAACTTTTTATGTATTTTGGAACCATAAAATTATAGCATCATACAAATTAATATTTGTTTTATATTTTAATTATATACAGAGTATTTCAGGTGATTCTCAATTATGGTTTTATGTCACTATAGGTTATATATGATTATTTCAGAGCATTACCAAACTTCTCTCAATTTTTTAAAATAAAAATTTGAAATAGATATTTGCTATACTGGCTGGAAGTCACACTATAATTAGATAACTTTTGTTTTTCCAGAGTAGCACTAAAGCCTGTGTTTTATTACTGCTTGGCTCTCTCCCAAATGAAACAGCGAGACTAATCCCTGATACCTGATGGTATCGCTAGTCTATTATGAAACTGCTTTACAGAGATCCTTCTCAGCATGAGAGATTTTCAACTGCAGTATATTTTTTAAGTTAATAGAGTCATGCAAACATTTATAAAAGACTTTAATCCTGAAAATCTGTTACTCTGTAATACAATTAGGTGGTTTCCAATTTCTAACTGTGGACATGCCTACAGAGTGACTGCAATGATAATGTTTATACCTGGTAAAAATCTCTTGAAGGTGGCCTGGATTTACCAAAAATATAATTTTACTTGGTTATCTTTATCTAGAAAATGTTCAGTGTTTTATTCTCAAAATCTTCAATTTGAGAGTTTCCCAAATGAAATTTTTTCTGTACTCTATTATAATGCCCTGACATACTCATCCATAATCCAAGTCACAAATAATTAAATTTTGCAAACTTCTGGACTTTTAGTTCTGTTTTAATTCCAAATACCCAAGTTCTTTCTTAATGATGGTAACTATGATATGATAACACGAGTTCTTAAACTTATTTAAGAGAATGTCACATTCTATAGAATTACTGTCTGTATTAATGATTAAGTTCATATTATTGCTTAAATTATAATAATTTATTTGCCCCCTGAAAATCCATGTCACTGGGCGAGGCAAGGAGTAGAATCAAGGAATCAGTGAATAACATCAATTCTCAGTCCCTCTACAAAGTAGATAAATTGGTCATTTTTTAAAAATGTGCAGAATTGACAGTCTCTCTGACAACCTCGGCCAACCCTATTTTCCAAAAATGTGTTAAGAAATTAATAGAAAACATATGTGTATTGATATATAGTTGAAATAAAAATCTCGTGTAAAAGAAAATAATAACTGGCTTGTGTGGTTTAGTGGACCGAGTGCTGGCCTGTGAACCAAAAGGTCACTGGTTCAATTCCCAATCAGGGCACATGCCTGGGTTTTCCCCCAGGTCCCCAGTAGGGGGCACACAAGAGGTACCCACATATTGAAGTATTTCTCCCTCTCATTCTCCCTCCCTTCCCCTCTCCTAAAAACCAGTAAAATATTTTAAAAAGAAAACTGAAATCAAATATTGATGTATAAGTATGCACGTGAATTACATTATTATAGTATAAAGATAAAAATTGGTTTCATGTTTGATGTCCATTAAACTATATAAGATATGCTACATAAACGACAGGTCAAAATCATATCCCTGTGTCTCAAGCATTACCAAATTATAAGCCAAACTTTCTGGTAATAAAGAAAATAAAATCAAGCTAATGGATTCTTCATCTTCCCTCTATTTAAAACAGATACATCTTTGAACATAAAGGATGTGAAAGAATCATGTTTATCAATAACTGTTCGCTAACAGATGATTCGGAGTATTACGTGACAGCCGGTGATGAGAAATGTTCCACTGAGCTCTTCGTGAGAGGTAGAGTGAAACCCCTCACTGCAGTCCTCTAGGGCTGACAGCTGTCCATCTCCCGGGGGTAATAATTAAGATGAAAGTGGTGAGCTGAGCTCCTGGCTCCAGGGCAGAGCTAGTAGCACCTCTAGAGATGGTTTACTTTGGAGGTTCAACTGGCTCTGCATTGCACATGAACGTGGACAGTTAATGTGTGTCCTAATTAATCTTCAGGTTTGTTAAAGACTAGAAGAGCCAAGGGGGAGAAACAAAACAAAACTGTTGAGTAGAACAGCCTGGAGGTTTTGACTCAAGCAAGCAGTGTTTTACAGTATAAGTGCTCTAGCTATAACTTCTGAAACCCAACGAAGTCTGCAGAATAATCCTCACCTCACACAGTCCGCTGATCACAAATCAATTTCTCTTGAAACCAGTTTCATAACTGAAGGGGCATCAGTGGTTGGCTCTGAGAACTCTGTAGACTATCAGTTACTAAGACACTGTGAAAAGAGCCAGAGGATGTCGCTGAAGCCAGGCATTACTTTTCTGTGTGTGTGTGAGGCTCACTGATTAATGCAACTCTGCACTCTCCATCATCCATCTAGAACCAGAATCAAAGAGTTGTAGTCTTAAGGGTTCTCCTTCATCAGAAATGTTTCAACCTGGTATCTTATTTGCCACCCCCCCATATGAAGTTTGATGCCTTTTGTCTTTTCTCTAGAACAATAATTTATTTGATTTGAAAAGTTCTGAGAAAACTGGAAAAATTTCCCCAGGGTTGTCAGCTATTTTGCCAAGAAAACTCATACAGACCCCACCTCTTATCTGCCACTGTCTAACCATACCTCTGTGATGTGACATTTTCTTACTGTTGGTTTTTCATCTGGGGAGAAGTTTGGGGTTGTGAGGCAGGTTTTAGACATTTAGTGATTCTGATTCCCTCTTTTTTCACACTAGAGCCTCCAATTATGGTGACCAAACAGCTGGAAGATACAAATGCTTACTGTGGGGAGAAAGTGGAATTAGAATGTGAGGTGTCTGAAGATGATGCCAATGTAAAATGGTAAATAGCTTTTCTGAGGTCTGTTCATTTTTAATAGACACACACAGAAAGTACCTTCATAGTTTGGAGAAGAGGAAATTGGTTTTACAGGTATGAAAAGAATCTCAATTTCTTTTGTGTTAGTAGAAATGGTAATTAAAACCATACTGCATGGATGGAACTGGAAAGCATTATGCCGAGTGAAATAGGCCAGGCATTGAAGGACAAATACCATATGATCTCACCTTTGACAGGAAGCTAAAGAATAAAACAAACAAGCAAACAGAATAAAAACAAAGACACTGAAATAGAGAACAAGTGGGCAGCGACCAGAGGGGAGAGGGAAGGGAACTTAAGGGGAAAAAGGGGGAGGGATTTTGAGGAACAAGTATGAAAGACACAGAGATGAGTACTGGGGGGGGGGAAATGGGAGGGAGGGGGGAGACTGGGTGGGGGGGGGAGGGTGGGATGGGAGAAATAGATAAAAAAAATGTACTTGAAAAGTAACTAAATAAAATTTAATATTTAAAAAAATAAAATAAATAAAACCATACTAAGATACTGTTTTTTTTAACCCAGAGTACTGAAGAATATCTGGAAATCTATATTGTAACAATGTAGGGCAGTAGGCAATACTAATAATAAATGGATGGGTCAAGGTTGCCCAGCTCTGTTTAACTCCAAAGCTTGTAGATGCTCTTCATCTGTGTATCATGCTTCCTCTCACTATACTGTGCAAGCAACTTACATAGAAAAATATACTTCCTTTTTCATTTTATTCCCAGTCACTTTATTATAGTACCTGAAAAAATATTTTAGACTGAGAATCACCAATGACTTTAAAAAATAAAAACCATTGTTTTGTCTGCAGGAAGTGTTTTCTCAAGTTCTCTTTGAGCCCCTTCAAAATTAAAGAGTAAATGATTCAGAATCCTCAACTGAAATGCTTTGTTGAGAAGTATAGAAAACTTCACAGCTGGAATCTTTACTAACTGGTACAGAGCAGATAGTTCATTCTAGTCTAGAATCATAGCTGTCTTTAAGATGTATTAACATGTTATTCTCACCAGTGTACGTCAAACCCCCAAACATGGGTAGTATCCACATTTAGCATATTCATCTGATTGCTCCTGAGTGGAAAGAGGGGGCTTATGTTCTTTTAATGTAGTTTTCCAGACAATATTTGTTATAATATTAATGCATTGATAGATTGATTTGTAGATTCTCTAATTCAGTAAATAGTTCTTGAGTGTCTGGGACCTGCCCAACACCCTGCATGGTACTGGGATGTGGGAAAAACAAGACCAATACGATCTATGTCCTGAAGGGCTGTTTATCAAAATTTTGTAATAATCTGTTTTAACACAGGTTTAAGAATGGTGAGGAGATCATCCCTGGTCCAAAATCAAGATACAAAGTTAGAGTTGAGGGCAAAAAACACATTTTGATCATAGAAGGGGCAACCAAGGCTGACAGCGCAGAGTATTCTGTAATGACGACAGGAGGACAATCATCTGCTAAACTTACTGTTGACTGTAAGTAGGACTTCTTTGGATGTCTTCCATGTTGGCTTCCTCATGGTGTTGCATTTGTTAGTTCAGTTTCAGTCTATCTCATTTCTAGCTGTGGCAGTTTTGATTATGCAAAATTAAATTCCATTCTAGCTCTGAGTGTGTATGTCATATTAGTTGGGGTCTCTGAGAAAAGAACCCATGGTTAAAAAATATTTTAATCCCCAAATCACATAAATAGATGATAAATATTTAGACATGATATCAAATCTTTATAACAGTCTCTTAATTCACAGGTGAACTTGCTATTTACTCATTAAACAAACACTCGAGATTCTGTGATTACATTTAGGGTGGAAGTTACTCCACTAACAGGCCTCAGTTGAGAACCTTGTAAGAGCTAACGTGCTAATATGCTTCAGGGGCAGGAGAGAACTAATGTATTTCCCCAAATGCTCACTATCTGTAGTCAGTTCTCAATGGCAGAGTCTGTCCCTTTTGGTTAACCATGAAAATTAAAATAGCAGATGTCACAAAAAGATCGGTAGTACACACAGTGCAGAAATCTGCTTCTTTACTTTCTTTCTGAGTTCAGTTGCAATTTGTATGATCACTGAGTTATTCGGCAGTAATTTCAATACACTCCCATGTTTTCATGGAATATGAGAAATTTTGGTTTAATATCAAAAAAGAGTTTTTGTTTAACTTGCAAACAAGTTTAATAGTTTCTTTCTATTGTATTTTTTCCATCACCATTTATCCCCTTTACACTCTCTTCAATCCACCACCCCTACAATCACCATACTATTGTCTATGTCCATGAATCTTTCTTTTTTTCCAAAAATATTTTTAATCATAGGCAGATCCTTATCTGATATTTGTATCCATGTAAAGCAATGATATGATTCTGTGCCTCTAATAACATTAACAATAAAAAATAAAGCAATTACAGTTAGTTCTGCTATAATGCAATATACGTAGTTCTAAAAATCGCTATAGTAGCCAGAGTTGCACAATAAAAACCAAAGGACTGGTGGAGAAAATAAGGTTATGGGCACAACACTCAAAAATTTTGTCAGCAACACATTAAAAAAAAACATAAGAACCTAAGAAAAACCATTAGCAGAGTTTTACACATGTTAAATGGTTGATAAATAGTACAGCGTATATGACACTTGACCTTTAAGAAGACCTGAAATTTGCTTATGAAAGCGGTGTCGGTAGTTCTGCAGTGTGTGAGCTGTTGTGAAGGAGTGGACAGAGGTTATCTGAAATCAGATGGACAGTGGTGATCTCAGCTCTGCATGAGTGTGGCTCATATCACATGGGTGAACCGGGACAGCTGGCAGATGTTTGAGGGGTGTGTATACATGTGTATGTTGTGTAGTCCTACCTGGCTCAGTCTAGCTGGGTGCAGTTTTCTGGATTATCCTCATCTTTATCATGATAATATTGTCTCTAATCAAACATAAAATTTGTGTTTTGCTCCAATTTGTTCCCTAGTATATCAATTGCATTGGAACAAATTCTCATTTTCAAAACAAGCATTAAGAGCAAAACTGACTGTACTATTGTGAAATGGCATGAGCATGGCCTGTCTAGACTGGGTCTGGCACTTACAACCACCTATTGTTTCTGTAGTGAAGCCTCTGAAGATCCTGACACCTCTAACTGATCTGACTGTAAAACTTGGAAAAGAAATCTGCTTGAAGTGTGAAATCTCGGAAAATGTAACAGGAAAATGGACTAAAAATGGGCTACCTGTTCAGGAGAGTGACCGTCTAAAGGTTGTACACAAAGGAAGGTGAGCAAGCTAGGAGACCCCTGCGTGAGGGCTGGTCCCCATTTCACTGTCTCCACTTCCTAAATGACATATTTGGCAAGGATGTTCGAAGAGCAGTCATAGGGAAAGGATCTATTTCTGACTCGTTGCTCTCAAATGGCAAGGACATGTGATTTCTCTGTTGTACATCACGTCCTACTTGTGATCCTGGATCTGTACCTTATCGTATGGCTCTTTGTCTATTCAAAACCCACTGACTGATTCTTTCCTACCTAAACAGAATGATAGTAAATTCTAGCTGAAGAACTGGTCAAGCTGGATTAACTGTCCCTAACCAATGAGTGTCACGTGATTTCCTTCTTTCTTTCTTTCTTTCTTTCTTTCTTTCTTTCTTTCTTTCTTTCTTTCTTTCTTTCTTTCTTTCTTCCTTCCTTCCTTCCTTCCTTCCTTCCTTCCTTCCTTCCTTCCTTCCTTCCTTCCTTCCTTCCTTCCTTTCTTTCTCCTCCCTTCCTTCCTTTCTTTCTTTCTTTCTTTCTTTCTTTCTTTCTTTCTTTCTTTCTTTCTTTCTTTCTTTCTTTCTTTCTTTCTTTCTTTCTTTCTTTCTTCCTTCCTTCCTTCCTTCCTTCCTTCCTTCCTTCCTTCCTTCCTTCCTTCCTTCCTTCCTTCCTTTCTTTCTTTCTTTCTTTCTTTCTTTCTTTCTTTCTTTCTTTCTTTCTTTCTACTTTTTTGAAGGGGATGGCATAATATACCAGAATCTAGCAAAGATCTAGGGCATGAATTCTCAAATTTGGATCCATAGATTCCAAAGAGATCATGAATGAACTTCAGGGGCTCTCATAAATCCTCTGAAATTATAATTCTGTGTGTACAAAAATACTTGCATTTCTCCAGTAAGAAGAATTGGAGAAATCTATCAGTTTTTCACTGGTTTGTGATCTCTCAATAAAGTTAAGAAGTATTAATCTAAGGTTTGGTATGTAAACCAAATCAAGCCTATTCTTAAAAATTTCTTGAATCTTAAAGTATGATGTTAGTGAGATATCTACTTTTAACCTTTCTAATGCTATGTGAAGAGTTAGAGACTCTTGCTTAGTAAATAAATTGTATTTGTAAAGATAATTCTATATAGACTAAAATAAATATTTAATATGGACCAATAAATAGGATAATTAAGATTTCATATTATTCTCTCTCTCCAGGCTATATGAAACAAGTTAATTAGATAAAAGCCAGGTGTCTTCTCAGTTTGGGACATATACAATCAAAATCTTTGTAAAGTCTTAGACATATGTTTTTCTTATTTCCTTAGAATCCACAAGTTAGTGATAGACAGTGCTCTCATTGAAGATGAAGGTGATTATGTATTCACACCAGATGCCTACTCTGTTACTTTACCTGCCAAAGTTCATGTTATTGGTGAGTCGATAAAAGAAATCTATACAGAGTTGTGTGCTTTTATCTTTGTTTTTGCTTACCTTAGAACTGTAACATATTCAAAACCATGTGATATTTAAATTAAAAAATATATAACTGTTACTAATCCTATATAATGGTTGATCTGTTATAATGGTTGATTCTTAAGAAATCTTATGATGAAGTAGTTTTGCAAGATGCCAGGTACCATCTACATTAATGAACTCCTCTTACAATTTTTCAGTCAGATAAAATATTGGTTACTACCAATGTTTGGCAGTAGCCAAGCACTGGATATTCACATGGGAATGACTGTCTGATAACGAAGGCCATATTTCTTATTCCAGATCCTCCTAAAATCAACCTGGATGGTCTTGATGCTGACAATACAGTGACAGTAATTGCAGGCAACAAACTTCGTCTTGAAATTCCCATCACTGGAGAACCTCCTCCTAAAGTTATTTGGAGCAGAGCAGATAAGGTTTGTTCTACACACACACACACACACACACACACACCCCACTTCCTGCCCTCCATTAGTCAGATGAAAGAAGGAGGCAAATAAAAGTACAAGGATACAGCAACAAGGTGATTATTTTGTCAAAGAAAGATCACCCATTTTCAGACAAATGTAATAATCATTCATTCACTCTTTACAGTTTTGAGTACCTATTATGTTCCCAACATGCTTTTATGTGCAGTGAACAACAGTCCATTTTTCTTTCTAATGAATGTCAGGGAATGGGGTGGAAGAGAAAGAGACAAGGAATTATTAAATAAATAGGCAGGCATAATTATTTTGTACAGTATAACAATAAGTGCCATGAAGACAAAAATAGGCTAATATGATTAACAAACGACCATTTGGTGAGTGCCAATAGCATCTCTGAATGACAACAAGAACCAATCACATGAAGATCAGAGAAGATTTCCAGGTGAAGGCACCGCAACTACAAAGGACGGGGGGAGAGAATGAGCTTGACGTGTTGGAGGAATAAAAAGAAAGCCAGCGTGACTGAGGCACCATGAGGAGGAGAATACTAAGGCTGGGGTAGTAGATTAGTGCCAGTTTCCTATGTGACCCTATGGCTTCCTATAAAAAAATTTTTTTACAGGCAGCAAAACTATTCCATATGATTCTATAATTATGAATACATGTCATCATAGATTTGTCAAAACCCATAGAATGTACAACACCAAGAGTGAGCCCTCATGTAAACTGTGGACTTTAAATGATAATAATGTGTGGGTGTAGGTTCATCATTTGTAATGAAGGTACCACTCTGACATGGAATATCAATAATGGGGGAGGTTGTGCATATGTGGGAACAGAGGTAATATGAGGACTCTGCACTTTCTGTTCAGTTTTGCAGTGAACCTAAATCTGTTCTAAAACTAATTTATTAATAACAATCATCACCACCCTGACTGTTGTTGCTCAGTGGGTTTAGTGCCGGCCTGCAAACCGAAGGGTCACTGGCTCAATCCCCAGTCAGGGAATGTGCCTGCGTAGTAGGTCAGGTTCCCAGTTGGGGATGCATAAGAGGCAACCACGTGTTGATGTTTCTCTCCTTCTCTTTCTCCCTCCCTTTCCCCTCTATCTAAAATAAAATAAAAATCTTTCAAAAGAAAAGGAAAATTGAAGAGGATAACATAACACTAACTTAAATGAGTATTTTTCTTTTCACATTAAAAAAACACAACATCTTTTATAATCAAGATTATAACTAGGCTAATATGATAAAAAATTTTTCTATTATAAAACAGAAAAATTAAACTATTTCAGGTATTCTTATTGTTGTCATAATACTTTGTTATTAAAGACTTATGAGTTCTAATTCAGAGACAAAGGAGAGTTAACAGTAATTAGTGGCAGATTACTTAGATTCCCTAAAGTTGCCATGATCATCTATCTCTGTTTTTCCTCTTTGTACATTGGTTGTTCATTGTCATGTAGAAGATACAGCCTTGGAATCAGAAAAATGCAATGCTCCTTTAAAATCTGACTGAAGAAAAAAGGAAGGAAAAAAATGAAGGAGAAGAAGGGAGAGAAAGAGGATGAGAAGGAACAAAAAGAAAATATAATAGCTCAATCTCACCATCTTTACTTTGAGAAAGAAATGTTCATTCTTTCATCTCTTATCAGAAGGGAAAAATCAATACTCAATAACTTGTATGAAAAATTGGCATTGCAGCTTTCATACCTTTTCAGTATTTTTAAAATGTCAAGATATCTAAGAAAATGGAAAAAAGTCATTATTTAGTTTCTGAAATAAATTTGACTATTTCCAATTTTATATGCACAATGACTCCTCTCCTAGAATCATACTCTACTCACAGTCTTAGTTCTCTGAATTTTTCTTTGGAGAGTTCATGACTGGTGAGCTTTGGAGTCAGATCCCCATTCTACCACTTCTTAGCCATGTGGTCATGGGTTACAGTTTTCTTGTCTGTAAACTGGGATGATAACACCTTTGTCCTTGGAGTTGATGGAGGATTAAACTAAGAATGTGTATTTTAGGCATTGGCACCACGTCTGGTTTAAGTTACAAGGCACTGTAGACTCATCCTGGTTGTATAGGTCATGCCGCATCTCATTTCTTCCCTCTTTAGGCTATTACGGAGAGCAGCGGCCGGATAAGATCAGAATCTTACCCGGACAGCAGCAGTCTGATTATTGATGTAGCTGAAAGAGAAGATTCTGGTGTTTACCACATAAATCTGAAAAATGAAGCCGGAGAAGCCCATGCAAGCATTAAGGTTAAAGTTGTGGGTGAGTCCATTGAATCAGTAAACTTCCCAAATCAAGTTCCCATGTCTAGGTCATGAGTAGGCTGTTAGCTATTGATTCCTTCAACTTTTCTGTGTAGCCAACAAAGAGAAAAATAGTATAGCTATATTTTATAAATCACCATCTTTCTTTATCTACCTTTTCCACTTCTTTCTTTCTTTCTTTCTTTCTTCCTTTCTTTCTTTCTTTCTTTCTTTCTTTCTTTCTTTCTTTCTTTCTTTCTTTCTCTCTCTCTCTCTCTCTCTTTGGGGGGTGTGGAGGACATATTGCAGGAATGAGTAGCTGAGACAGCCACTAGGTTCTGGTCATTAGCTCTCCACAGTCATATTCCCTTTTGGTGCCCTCTAAAGTTACTGAAATACAATTGCTAAGTAATTTCCCACATTGTAATCATTGTAGAGGAGTACAATTGCTCTTGGTCCTTAGATGACCATTTAAGTATGTTTTTCCTAAGCCTGAAGCCAAGAGAAAAGAATCTAGCAATTTATTGGTGATCCAAGGTCTTACGAACTCTTATCTCACTTTAGTTGTCCCTTAAACATATTTCAAATTGACCAAAAACTAAGGTCACTTTATCAGGCATTGAATTGTGTATACAAGACATGGTAACTTGCCATTTTTGACTTGGATTTCCACCAGTCAACGTCTTGAATCTTCCAACTAATGTAAAATTTATAGTATTCAGTCCTTGATTCAGTGCTGGTGGAAGTTCACTTTGTAATTATGAAACAAACAAAAAACTTGCATTTGACCTTGAGTTTCTTAGTTATTATGTTCAAGGTAAAGAACAAGAGTCTTAGGTTTCATGTGGGGCTGATTATCTCATGTGGTGACTTTGCTTTAAAGGATTTTTTAAAAATTTCTATTTGCCTTACCTTCTTTGCTCATTTTTTAAAGTTATTGATTTTAGAGAGAGACAGTAAAGAAGGGAGAGAGAGAAGTATTTGTTGTTCCACTTAGTTATGTATTCATTGGTTGCTTTTTCATTGAATATTTTATTACTGTTCTATTGCACTTGTCTCATTTCTTCCCCTGTCATTGGTTGATTCTTGTATGTGCCCTGACCAAGGACTGAACCCACAACAGTGGCGTACAGGACAACAACGCTCTAACCAACTAAGCCTCCTGGCCAGGGTGGCTTATCTTTTATCTCATATGAAGCATGAGTCTTTACCCACATTAGTTACTAAGTGTATTTCAGTAAACGTGCAAAAGTACTCAGAAATAGCACTACTTCATCATTATCACCAAAGAACATACTTTCCAAATGACATTTTTCTTTGCACATTCGCTCTCTTATTTTATTCTTTGTTGTTGTTGTTGTTGTTGTTTGGTTTGCTTGCTGCAGACATCCCTGATCCTCCAGTGGCACCAAATGTGACAGACGTGGGAGACGACTGGTGCATCATGAACTGGGAGCCTCCTGCCTATGACGGCGGGTCCCCAATCTTAGGTAACTGCATGCTGGTCAATCAGCAGAATTGCCACTGGACGCGGTATTCTCTATGCATATTATTAAGAGTATATTAAATAGAGGGTGTTTAGAAGAGAATGTATTATACTATGTATATCTAATCAAAGTGAAATAGTATATTTTGGGTTCTATTATATCAAGGTTTTAATAGCTCTGACGAGTATTATCTGATTGCTTGTTCTCTTTTGTGGTTGACATTTATATTTAATATAATATTGAATTATACTGAAACACTGTGAGTCTAACTTTAAATAATTCTAGTCAGTTAATGTCTAGTTTCATAGAATTATTTCTATGGAAAAAACTTCTAGAGTTAAATACTTAGAAGAATTCTATTTCCATGTGGAACAAAAACTTTCTTCTACTTACAAATTTTGAAACTCACAAAACTGGTCATTTGCCCTTCATTCATACGTTGCTGGGATTCAGAGCTGAAGCTATTGCTCAAATATACCTACTAAATAAGTTGTTATGACCTACCTATCTGTGATCTATTTTTTCTTAGTACAATTTTAATTTTTCTAATCCTATTATTTTTATCTCCTGTGTTGTTAATACATATAGTCTCTATAATCTCTTTCAAAGTGATTGAAATAAAGTGGTTTAAAAACATGTACATACATGACTCTTTGACCTAGAGCACTGAGAATATTGAAAAATGTAAGAACTTCTAATATCTGACAAAGTCCAACTTTGGAGACCAAGGGAAAAACCCAAGTTTCTATTATGTATCCCCTGCAGGATACTTTATTGAGAGGAAAAAGAAACAAAGTTCCAGGTGGATGAGGCTGAATTTTGAGCTCTGCAAAGAAACAACCTTTGAGCCCAAAAAAATGATCGAAGGCGTGGCCTATGAGGTCCGGATCTTTGCTGTCAATGCCATCGGCATCTCCAAGCCCAGCATGCCCTCCAAGCCATTTGTTCCTCTGGGTGAGTGAGAAGAGATGTGTCTTTGTCATGGGCATCACTGGTCCACATTGTGACTGCTTCCTTCCGACCTCCAACTGGAGCAGACCTGGAAGCTTCTTGGAGTGGTGGGTGAGCAGGAGGTTGGAGATGGTTGTTACCTGCCTAAGAAATTGGGTAGAGTTGAATGTCCTCATAATGGCAGCCCTTGAGTTCATTACCAGAGTTCCAATGACAGCTGCGGGTGGCCCTGGTTCTGCTCCCCACTAAAAACATGTTGCTCAACACACTGGCAGATAAGCACTCTCCATTTGTCCTTCTGAAGTCATAACCTCTCAACTTGGTATGAACATTGTAACTAAAACAGATTGAGATTCATTCAACAAAGCACACTTGAAAATTAATTGTTGTTTTACAATCCCATCTTAAATGTTATCTGTTGAACCACAGAGTCAGTTCAGCAAAGACAAAGAAAATAACAGGTCCTTGCTATTTTATGGTAGTAAAGTTTTTTTTCCTATAGAAAGATTTAATACAAGAATTTGTACTTTAAAATGAGAGAGTTATGGGAAATTTACTGTAGCTCAGTGGATTCCAAACTTTGACTTTTCCCAACTTCCTTGGGCCTCTCAGCCTCCAACACTCAACCCCCAGCGTGGAAGGAACTCGCGGCAGCATTTGTAAGTATCATGCCACGTCTGGTGGATTTTGCTTTACACACAGCATTTGCTCAAGGAGTCTTCATTGAATTTGATTAAGATGCGGGTCTTTGGTGTATGTTTTTATTTGTATCTCAGCTCATTTTCTTACCATGTCTTGGGCCATAACCCTGTAGTTAATCATTTCTGCTTTTCCTGTCTCTTTTATCTCTGAAGCTGTAACCAGCCCTCCTACGCTTCTGGCTGTTGACTCTGTAACCGACACCACTGTCACGATGAAATGGCGGCCCCCAGACCAGATTGGTGCGGCAGGTTTAGATGGCTATGTGCTAGAGTATTGCTTTGAAGGAAGTAAGTACAACTCATTGTTAAAATGCGTATCATCATCACTAGGTGAGACATGCTCCCTCCCCCATTCTTTTGTTTCTCTCTCTTGGGAATTCATCTCCTTCCTGTGAAAAATGCCAACAAGCCAAAGCTCATTATTCTAAGAAGGATAAAAAAGTAGCCCTTCTTTGATACTTGAGGCTAACAAATGGAGATCTTGAAAACATCCTAGGTAGGCTGCCCCATTGGACAGCACAGTTGATCTAAGACACGGGAGGAAGTGGGTGTTGACGCTACTTCAGGGATTTCCAGTTCTTGAATGGGAGGAATTAAATTGTACCAAAGCGAAATAAAAGCCTAGTTAGGAGGAAGCAAGTTGGAGATTTCGTATTCTGAGCAGAAGTCAGCTATCAAAAGAGCTGCCTGTTTGGGGGAATAAAGAGCCACTACATATTTGGCTATCCGGTGATCCTTCCCTGCCTTCTTCAAGGGGGAAAAAGAAGAAAAATTAAGGACAACCTCTCCGTGTTTAAGGGAAGCAGCACTCAGTCCCACATGGAGTGAGAAATGGGTTCCACATGTGGCAGTCACTTCTCTCAGAGGCTGGGTACAGAAAAATGTAATCACTTACATTTAGGAGCAGAAGAGAAACACGAAAACAATCGCCGATTAATAGAAAAGGAGAATGACTTGAGAAAATATGGGCCAGAGTGCCAGAGTGTGCCTAAAACCAAAAAAGAGGTGAAAAATCACTGAAAGCCTCTTATGCTTTTGATTTCCTACTTGTCATGCTTTGAAAATGTGTGAATCGAATTGCCCCAGCTCTTGACTCAGGCTCCATTCTAAACGATGGTAGGCAAACCACCCACAGGCAAGCACATTCGTAGCCCCACAAATGATGAGCCAAGATGTAGTCTCAAAGAAAACCCCTTGGACCCCAGACTTTAACATGGGTATTACATGAAGGAAGGAGACACCATAGAGCACATGGGGGAAATCAGGAGTGTCACACAAATGTACCACCCCCAGAGGACAAACCTTGAAAAAGAAGAAACTTCTTATGATGAGAAAACTGCTGAGAAAGAAATCCCCAGCCCCTGGATGGGGGCACTTGTGGAAACGACCAGGGTTGGTCAGGAGGGCAGATGGGGAGGGGTTTGGAGCATCCTGGTAACAACACTCAGTTCCATTGGTAGGTGCTGCACTCAGAGAGCACTAGGCTCGTTTTTCCGGGGCTTCGAAAGGCACTAACCCAAACCAGTGGGGACATCATAGGAAAGTCCCCAGAGTTCTCCCGGCCTGGGAGGGGGGTAGTGTCACTAATGCAGCAGGTGAATTCTTGAGAACTTCAGAATGTGGCTCATTCCCATTTCATTCCCCTCCCCCGACCATTCCAAAAACGCAGGAGCACTTCACTACTCTGTTATTTATATCACACGGCCAGCACAGTCTCCCAGTCTCAGATGTATTGTGGCTGCTGGTCACAAACCTTTTGTGTATGTATGACACGGAGCAAATTCTTTACTCTTTTCTTTCTGATAGGTTTAAAAAGTAAGAAGATACAACAAAATGATACATGGCTGTCATTTTGATGTTACCCACCTTAGATAAAATACAACGAAGTGTATTTTACATGATTTCGTGTGTGGTCTGTGTAGATATATATGTATATGGGTATATACATATATACATGTACACAGTCATTATGATGTATATTTCTTTTTTTTTTTTTTTGCCACATAACGTTTTGGAATTAGCTTTCTATGGAACGTGTATATCTTTCTTCTTGCAATCTTTTCTCACTTCCTTGATATGACTGATCTACTCTTCATTCTCTTTTAATGGCTGTTGTCCTCCAGACTAATTTTCTGTAGCGCTTAATGCTTTTCGATATGTCAGGTTTTATTCTGTGAGAGAACACTTTCCTTTATAAGATGGTGTGTTGGTTTTGACTCTGCCTTCCTCTCGTTTTTTTGGGTTTGTTTTTTTTAATGCCTGCAGCATTTTACTCTTTGTTTTCTTCCTTCACTTCCTTCCTAGCTCCTTCTTCTCTTTGTCTCCCTCGGTTGAAGTGGTTCAGGTGTGAAGGGATTGGCTTTTTTCTCTTCCCCTCTGATCTTGTTTCATCCTCTTTTCTCTTGAAATTTTCTTCTTTACTAGTTCTTTGCTCTTTCGTGCACGTGTTCTGTCTCCTGATTTCACTTTCTCATCAACTGCCTCTTGACTACGAAAATATCAACACAGTAGCTCCCAAACCGACCATTGGCTTCAGATGTATCTCTTTTTCAAAGTCCCAAGTAATTTTCATTATTCACATGTCCTCCCAGCCACCAGAATATTCTGGCTTCCTGCCCCTTCTCCCAGACAATCCTAGGAGGGTTGGAATGAGACCGAGGAGGAAGTTCCATGGGGCCCAGGGCAGTCCCTACTCCCCTGATACCCAGAAAGTCATCACCCCAAACCATGGGCTGTGCCCATGACCACCCTGAGAGCCAGCAACATTTCCTTCCTTCTTATAGAATAAATGCAGGCACCACAGGCTTGGGTTGTTTTCTTGACCAAGAGCTCATTGTCTGGCAACCAGGAGCTGCCTCCTCAGCTGCTGGGGCAGTTTCCATTTCCTTTGAGAATTAGAGCCCTAGTGAGACAGGGCTGGCTTTATGATGAGTGCCCTCAATGCATGAGCCCCACTGTGGGAGCACTCATTCCTGGGGACCCTCCCAGGCTGGGGTGGCTGGGGCAGGAGCGAGGATAGACTGTTCCTCTGTGTGCTGGTCCCCTGGGGAGGCCAGGGCCTGCCCTCCTCTCTCTCCAGGGTCTTGCTTGTTCTTCTCCACCTCTTGCTCCCACAGCTGGAGGTGCCCCAGCTTCCTTTCTCCTCCTCTTCTCTGTGGCAGGTGCCTCAGGACAAAACCCACCAAACAGTCTGAACAGAGCAGGCTGTGCCTCTCCTGAGGAATTCCCTCCCCCTTAACCTGTTTGGTCTCTTCCGTCACTACTCTGAAGACAAATATCTTTGCATACTTTGCATACTTTACTAACAGAGAATGCTGACTACTGATACAAAATTCTTCTGGTGTGAAAGTGGGTGTCTTTAATTAATTTTAATGACGGATTCTCAAAGGTACATCAGCAAAACAGTCTGATGAAAATGGGGAGGCTGCGTATGATCTGTCAGGTAAAGTATTCTCTGAAAGCTCTCACTCTTTCTTACTCTATGATAAAGTTTCTGGGAACGTCCCATGACCAAGCATGAAGTACACCCGCCATCCATGCACACAGAAGAAGCCCATAGAGATGGGGGCGGGGGTGGGCAGTGAGTTCACATTTTGGGGTCCAGCCCTTCTTTCTTTTCTGTGGGCATAATGCACACAAACTTTTTGAAGCTGAAATAGGTTTTAGCCCTGGATGCTGAGTTTAAATTCTCTTGACGTCATAGACAAAGCTATAACAAATTTTTTTTTAAAAACCAGAGTATTAGATTGAGGTGAAAGAATTGTGCCAACTCCTTGTGGGGTCTCGGCTCCTGAGCTGCTTCCACTTTTCATGGGTATAGGCTTATTTTCTTCATAAATGGGACCATGGTCAGATTACTTATGCTCATATTAGCATCTCATAGTAATAAACTAGCCAAGATAACACAGAGAGAGTCTATGACTGTAAAGGTCGATGTCTCTCATTCATAAGAATGACATTTTCCTGTTTTTCTGAACTTCACTGTATATGGATGGCTAAATATCATGGTCATGTCCTTCATTATGAAACTGAATTGGAATAAAACTACTGCCAAATCCTTAGGAACAGTTGCTATTATGCAGGAGACCCTAGTATCCTGAATAGAGTTTTTCAGAAATGGCAGAATCTGATTATCCTTCCTGTTATTTATATTTAGCTGATTAATAGGCCATTTTTAATTTAAGTATGAAAAATGCCCACCCATGCACATAGTCTGAATCCAGGCCAAATGATTTAATTGTGGGGAAAATACTAATTTGGATTCAACTGTACCAGTTAGAATGATTTCTTTCACTAAACAACATTTTGCCTTCCTTTTGTGGATTTTAGCTGAGGAATGGATAGTTGCAAACACAGATCTGATTGATAAGACCAAGTTCACCATCACGGGTCTGCCCACGGATGCAAAGATCTTTGTGCGTGTTAAGGCTGTGAATGCAGCTGGTGCCAGCGAGCCCAAGTACTACTCCCAGCCCATTCTTGTGAAGGAAATCATAGGTAGGTGGTGGCCCTTTCAAAAGTTTGTCTTCCTTTCACATTATTTACTCGTATTTTTAAACCCCTTTCTTCTTCAACCCTTCCTGTTTCCTTGTCACTCCTTGAATATTGATTGTATTAATGCTTCCTGAGAGTTAAAAAGAACAAAACAGCTCTGTTCAGGCCATATGGAGGTCAGCCCCAGTTTTATAACTCAGTATGAGGACCAGTTGATTATCTTTACTGGGATCCTCACCATTGACTTTGGGAAGAGAGGGAGGGGAGAAGGTAGGGGGCAGCGGGGAGAGAGAGGAAGAGAAGAGGCAGCAAACAGTCTTATAGCAGCATCATGTCTCAGGTGGGTCTGCAAGGTCAAGGTCATTTTCCTAACACTATGAACGCGGTGTCTGACATCTGCTCCAATGGCGCAAAACTGCTGGTGTCTTAGCCTGGACCAAGTCAGAGCCGCCAGACTCTCAGCCGTTCTTGTCTTCCTCACCACCGTGCACTCACAGTTAAAATAGAAGGGCCACTTTTGCCTTGGAGCATTCTGGATGTGGCCTAAAAAATGATTAGTGTTATTAAATCTCGGTGCTCGAGTACATGCTTTCTTCTATACGCTGTGATGATGAAATGCAAAGTGCTGAAGTACAGCAGTTGTCCCTAGGAGAAGCCCTGGTGCCACTGAGTTAGGAGCTGAATGGGTGATTTTTCTCATGAAATTCTATTTTTACTTGAAAGAATGACTGCACAACAATGTCTACTCAGACTTGGGTATCTGGCAGGCATTTCCTAGAAAAGGAATGGCGGGAGCCTGTCACTTCAAAGAAAATAATTTACAGTATTTTTTGTCAACTTGTCAATTAAAAAATGAACTTTTAAGAAAAATTAGAATTTTGGAAAAATTGTATCCACTTCTAAAAACTTGACTGCTCTCCCATGCTTAAAAATTTTTCTGATAAAGTATGTATTGATAGCAACTCATGTAATTTTTGATATTTATTGAATAATGAAATGCGTTTACATTAGGAAGGTCTGTCATAATTCAGTGAAACAGTATTTTTCAAATGACCAGTACATGTTAAAATCATTCATGCTTAAAAGGTACATTCAAAATGCAAGATAGACCATTTCATTGAAATGGTTTCAGATTCCACATGGCAGCTAACTTTTAAGAAAATACAACTTATCATGTGTTAGTATTGAAGCAAAGAGGGATATTCACAACTGTCTGAAAGTTTATTAAAATATGTATTCTTCTTGTTTTTATGAAGTCAGGTTTTCTTCATACTCTTGAACCCATTCAATAGATGGCAACAGATTTAAGGCAGAAACAAGTATGAGAATCCAGCTAACTCGACTAAGTCAGGCATTAAAGAGATTTGACAAACATACAATAATGCCACTTACATCACTAATTTTTATTAATGTAAAATACGGTGTTTCCATTGAAATGGCATTTATATTATTATTATTTTAAATGAATATCTAATTAAATATTCCAAAATTCTGTTTAATTTGTTTTCTAAATTTTTTTCCAACTGTGAGAGAAAGTTTATTTAGAAAGTCACAGAGGTAGAAGAAGTGAGTCATAGAAGAAATGGGTTCAGGAAACAAGTTACAGAGGGAAAGGGGGAGACCTGGAGCCTGAGAGAGAGAGAGAGAGAGGCATGGAAAACCTGTCTGGGCGAAGGGGTGGGGAAAGGCACGGGCATTCTCCATAGAGAGAGCCAGCCCCAATTTCTCAGTTTTAATTTCTAATAGGATAAATATTGATAGATATAGCCCACATAAACAAGTTTTGGGGGGTCCTTGATAATTTTAGGAGTGTGTTGCAGTGCTGGCACAAAAAGCTTTGAGACTTGCTGCTCTAGGAGAGAGAACACTAGACTGGGGGCCTGGATACCTGGGTCTGGACCGCGGTCTGCCACAGGCTTACGGTGTGACTGTCAGAGCCTTTTGGGAGAGAGTTAGGGGATGGATGGACAGGCGGGAGAAGGCATGAAGCATGCGCGTTTTTAGATTCTGGCGACAGTCTACCTAAATTGAATGGTGTTTCCACTATTTATTAGCGATGTGATCTCAGGCATTTGCTCTTTTTCAGCCTTAATTTCTTCATCTGCAAGACGGAGACAAAAACAGTACTTACCACATCAAGAGGTGTGAGAATTAAATAAATTAGCCCATGTTGCTTGATTCACAGAGGGCTTGCTACCTAATAAGCCCCCAGTCCGTGTTAACTTTTATTGTGATGATAATTTAGTTTGCTGCAGAACCTTACTGATACCTAAAGTTAGAGAGTTAGAGGATCTCCAGGTTCTCTTCCTACCCCAACATTTCGTCCTCATCGTCATTGTCATCATCATCATCTCTGAAAGTTTTTTGAGCACTTATTATTCTCAACCATTGTGCTAAATTCTTTACACAAATAACATTATTTAATCCCCATGACAATCCTGTAAATTAGATGCTGTTATCACACTAATTTTACGCAACAGGAGCCTGAGGCCAGAGAGATCTACTATGTGTCTGATCGAGGGTCTGACTCTGCAGTCCATGCTTCCAAGCAGAGCACAGGCACTCAGGGCTGACTCCAGGTTCTAACCCTGGCTGTGTGGCCAAGAGCAAGTCACTTAGACTCCTGTGCTCCAGTTTCCTCATCATAAAGTAAAAGCAGTACCTAGCTCCTAAGGTGGCTAAGAGGGTTAAATTGGTCCCTTCATGAAAAGCAGTTAGCCCAGTCAAGTGATGAGACCCGCATCCTTCCTGTGAGCCTGCGAGACTCTGACTCCCTGCTCCTGATGGGTTTGCAGCAACATGTTCTAGTGTCTTCGTGCTGTTGAATTAACGGACTCTAACACCCAGCAGGCTAGAGTTCCCTATTATGTACTTCACCGTAGTCACAGGGAGAAAGTTCCTATAAAATTCCAACAGAATCATCTCAATAGCAAGGGCTCAGTATTAAAATTTTTTGTTTTCTGGTAAAAAAAAAAAAAAAGAATGAAAGAAACATCGGGCAGTCCCACCTGCTAATGTGCTGTCTGTAGACCTTTAATGGATTGTTCATTGGAGAATATACTCAGTGTTGGAAACTATGAAAAATGTGTCCGAGGTTCCAAGAGAAAATTTGGTATTTTTCCGTAAATGTTGCTTTAAGCTTATAATAACAATAAAAATAGGAAGTAGCGGTAAAATCAAAGAGGTCAAGGATAAATTTTGTTGTGTTAAACTGTTAAAGCATCTCTTTGAAGAAAGCATTTGGAACCGAAGTTACAGTGTGTAATCTATTAGTGACCCATCTATGCTGAACCGCGGAGACCCCCGCACAGGGAGGTCCAGTGAGCATCATGTCTGCATGCGGATGTAAGGCTGTGTCCAGTGTACTGATCACAAAATCGTGCTATTCTACTCTCACTCAGAGCCTCCAAAGATTCGCATCCCAAGGCACCTGAAGCAAACCTATATCCGCAGAGTTGGAGAAGCTGTCAACCTGGTTATACCTTTCCAGGTAATAATTCAGGGGTCACTCGTTTTCTCTCTCAGTGCTGGGGCGTTTGAGAAGAGGGAGATGCTGTAGTGCTGATGTTCCTCGTGAGTCGGGTTCCTCCCAGGGAGACAGGAAAACATGGGAAGAGATCTGGGGAGCGATGACCTCCTGCTGTGAAAGAGAAAACCTATAGAACTGTCCCAGATTTGCCTTCTTCACGAATGAGATCAGAAGCTCTGGGAGTATGGTGGGGCAGGGGGAAACATTGAGGATATACTAAAACAAGAAATTTTTGACGTTTCTTTCTGCTCCTATACATCTGCAAGACTAACTTTCATTTGAAGTGAAGTTCTCAATGTAACAGTCAGGAAAACAACATGTGCTTACTTCCCACAATTACCCCAAACTGAAGTAAATCCCAAAAAAGGGATAGCTAAAATTTGATGTCTCCTTGTCACTAATCGAAATATGTGACCATTGATAAATCATTGCTCCGGTGAAAGAATTTGTTGTTTGTAAGATTAACCAGGCTTTGCCTACAGTAAACAGTTTTGGGACTGTTTACTACACACACACACACACACACACACACACACACACACACACACACACACTGCACCACCACACTCTTACTCATTTGACTCCTTTTTTGCCTCTAAACAACACTGTTTAGTGGAACTTTCTGCAATGGCAGGAATGTCCTCTATATGTGCTGTCCAGTGTGGTAACTACCAGCCAGACAGAGCAGTTGAACACTTGCAATGTGCAGCTAGGAACTAGTATGAATTTAAAATTTTCCTTAGTTAGGACTAATTTTAGTCTGAATAGCCACGTGTAGTTATAGTATCAGACAGCATAGCCTTAGAGTTAGAAATTGGGTCCCTGCACACATCTGAACACATACACAAACACACATATGCACAGGCACACAGCCACATGAATTCATTCAGACTCAGAGCCCCGGGGGAAACCGAACTAACGAAACAGTCAATTCAGGCCATCATCCTCACTGAACTCTAGGCCCACGCTGCAGAAGAGGCAGTTATCTCCTATGAACACGGTGGGTGAAAACAGAGTGAAAGCCAGGGAGAATGTGAATGTAAACAGTAGAGGGAGAAGGAGATGACTCCCATTTCTCTCCTCCTACAGCCTCAAGTAAAACCAGGAGTTGAGATAAGGCAGGCACTTGGGACAAAACCCAGCCCTGGACTGGGGCTGCTCAGTCATTTCTATCACTAGGGCCCATCCCAGTTCCCAGATCTTGGGGCCTGTGCATTTCACGTCTGTCACTGGGTCTGAGAGAGGAAAGAGCATGTGAACAGGGACCTCATAGGTGGACATCCCAGGGACTACTTAGCTGCCAGGAAGGGGCTGACAAGACTGTGCCATGTTTGTGTATCTGTGTAACCTCCAGAGTTCTCAGAAATATGTTCTCATTCAGTTTGGAAAAAGAACACCGTGTGAGGCAGGAAGGGCAGATTTCCTTATCCCCGCTTGAGAGGGGAAGAAGCTGACGGTCAGAGAAGTTAAGTGGCTTGCCCAAGGTCACACAGCAAGTAAATGGTAGTGCCAAGAGCAGACTCCATATCCCCTAACACTGAATCGAGTGCTTTTTTTATTCCCTGTGTTATCAGAGAGCTCATTTTTTTCCCCCAGTAGCTAATAGCAACTTGCACATTTAAGGAAATAAGACCTAGAACGGTATTGTTCCTTACTTCCCATGTGCAAGTCTGAGCACCCCCAGCCTTCTTTAAGTTCTGTGGCCAGGGGTTTGCTGTGTGTCTCATATTCTTTATTGTAACCCATTGGGAAGCCACATTAGGAGCCTGGAGGGGAGCTGAGCCTACTTGACTGCATTAATGTGTGGTTTCCATCTGCGGGGTGAGTCTCAGTGCTCGGGAATTTTGGAAATTCCTTTGTAATACAAACGGAAACTCAGGTCCAAGAGTGACATTAGAATTTCTCAAAGCCTACTCTTAAAGAATAGTTTCAGCAGCTAGGGGAAAAAAAAACAATTATAGGCAAGTCTGAAACGAGCATCAGAGTGGAATAATAGTCTAACATTTAGATGATATTAATAAAACACTTATGTAGTATGCAGAAGCTTTCTAAAGACGTCAGTCTTTATAGCTACCCTGTGAGGTAGGTACTATCCTTGTTCTCGTTTTACAAATGGGGAAACTGAAGTACAAAGAGTTTAAGTATGATCACTTGCCCAAAGTCACACAACTATTCAGTGGTGCGGTCAGGGTGGAAATATAGATTCCAGCGCCCCAGAGCCCATGCTCTTGACTATTATGTGGCATTGTGCAGGCCTCGGAGCTGAAGACACCCGGCTGTAAAAACCTGATTCTAGCCCTTACTTAGCTGCAAGGCCTTGGGTAAGTCTTTTAACTCCTTATCCCAAAAATGAGGACAATGATACCATTTCGATATGAAGATTATGGGAACCAGTGAACTTCCTGTGCCTCACGTGGTGCCTTGTACACAGAATGCAGTCAAAGCAGCAAGTGTTAGTACTGGTGCTGCTCTGGCTGCTCCCCACCAGGCTGTTTGCCCACCTTGCCTTGATGAGGGTAAGCCACGGTCATTTTTTATTCATAGTGAGAAAAAAATCGTGAGACAGTCTGATTTCCCTCCTCCTCCACTTTTTCTGTCTGTCTTTTTAGGGAAAACCAAGACCAGAATTAACCTGGAAGAAGGATGGTGCCGAAATTGATAAGAATCAAATCAACATCCGCAACTCGGAGACTGACACGATCATATTCATCCGAAAAGCAGAGAGGAGCCACTCAGGGAAATACGACCTGCAAGTCAAAGTGGAGAAATTCGTGGAAAACGCGGCCATCGACATCCAGATCGTTGGTACGTTTGGAAGAAGGAACTAGAACGTTCTGTCAAAGCACTTTTGGGACTAATTGTCCTTGTCATTAAGGCTTAAAGTAAAAATTTGTGTTCAGCTGGCTCAATGTAAATTTTTTTTAAGAACAGATAAATTAGTAAGATTTGTTTGCATTTCAGAATAATTTTGCACTGAGTAAAAGGAGTAGTCATGGGAGACTTGGGACATCTTTGTGAAAGGAAATGAATGGACAGACTTTTTGGTGAAAATCACCTGCATTGCTTTGCAGCCCAGTCCTTTCTTGCTCTGTTTCTCTACTCCTCAGGGATAAATCTATTCCTGTGTTGAATTCTTGCATAGAAGACATTGTAGATTCTAGACACAATTTAACATGTGTCTACTGCACTTAAAATTTGCTATTAATAAAATTTAATGGAGAATGAGGAAATTTTTATGAATGGAAGGGATATGTGCCAAAACAAAGTTAAACACTGAATTGGCTGACCCTGTGGGCTGGTTGGATACTTACCTGTCTAGATAATAAGTAAGGTTAGTTCTTACTTCTGTCCAGTTAGGGGAATAGAGGTACAAGCTCTCATGGAAGGACCTCTCTCACCTGAACTGCTCTATGATTTCCACACTGTCATGAATAAATTTAAGAGCAGAGCTAAGAGAAGCCTTGTTTCCAGCCATTTTTTTTTTACTGTTGTATTTGAGCAAATTTGCTGGAACTTAAGGTTTTCTCACCCAAAGAGCAACTTCCTGTAACAATCCTTTCTTAGGGGGAAAGTCCTTCCTTTGGGGGAAGTTCACACCCTTCAAACTGAGCCCTGTTTTCCTACTGGCTAAACCTTCTTGATCTGACCTGGCTCTGTACTAATGGAAACCCATGGAAGCCTCTGGAAGAGCACTGCCTTCTGAAACACAAGGGACATTCTATTTTTCCACTTTGCCTTGTAGTTATTTTACCAGGTAGTTGTAAGTGCCTGGTATATCCCTTGTACACTGAGAGAGTTCAATAAATAGTAATATTACTATTCTAATTATTTTACTAGTTCTAAATGTATGTGTCTGCCATGATTATGAGAATCTACCAAAGCCATTTACTGTTAGGGAGCAAGTATCTGAAGTCAATGTGAACTTTGAAAACCAAGTTGACTTGGGGTGCAGCTGGGGGGTGGGACTGTAGGACTGGTTGGTGAAAACAGGAGACAGAGTACCAGGGTTCTGGAAACTTCCTGTTGGCGATAACAGACAAGAAGGGAGGCATATTCCTGTGGTTCCATCGGCCGAGCCCGTGAAGACTGCTTGTTAAATTGTATTTAAGAGAGAAAAGTCTTACCCAAAAGCACACCGCAGTTTGTCCTTTTCAGTCTCACATTTTATATCACCTATAAAAATGACTGCAATTGCATTTTAATATAATACCTGAAAGATATTTCAGGAAAGAAAGGCTGATGCTTGCACTGAGAAAGGTAATAGACATGATATTATCTACAAAAATTAAGAAATACTATGGAAATACATAGCATAAAGTAGGGCAAAAGTAGGTTTATAGTTGTGGCTATGTAAAACAGTTTATTATTCTATTTGTATAATAAATAATATAAATAGAATATTTACATAATAGTTTATTCTATTATTTTCCATACAAATAACTGTAAACATATTTATTATATGTTTGTGTAATTATTATCCTCTTTTGCACTTTTGTGCATGATTTAATTGTGGGGGGACTTCCCAATCAACACTTAGTTTTCTTGACTCTGGCCTTCCTGAATGTTACTGAAATTTACTGGAAGGTCAGAGGTCACAGCGAGTAAACCGAGGAAGGATTTTATTTCCTCATTAATGCACTTCACTTAACAAAATGGAAACACTCAATACATACAAATAAATCTTGGAGGGAGAGTTGAAAGAGTGATAAAAACATATTTTCCTCATGCCCCTTAAAGGTGCCTTTTGAGTACAACAGAGAAACCCATTCCCAGGCTGTGGACTCCGTGCTTTTCACCGAAAGTTAGAGCTGCTGAGCCCAGGCGGGCTCTAAATTTCAAGTGCAGCATCAGCTTGCATTTCCCACTAGGCAGGGTGGCCATGTAATTCAATACCAGTAGGCTGTGTCCCTGGAGGCCTGGTTAATAAGGTTTGAGATTTCATTTCAACTTTCTTTTCAAAATCTTTTTTCCCCATGAAGGTGAAAGTCAAGGGTTCCCAGATAAACTTAGCTGGAGTGCATCCCATTTCTCTGAAGTTTCAGAATGGTGAAAGAAATGTGGCTAGAAATGCAGGGACGAAAGGACGTTTTAAAATACCCTCCTGCTGCAATGTGAAGGTTTGGAGGGAAAGTGACCCCCCAGTTATGCCATGAATTTGTCCTGTAGACCGCCCGGGTCCTCCCCAACTTGTGAAGATTGAGGATGTCTGGGGAGAGAATGTTGCCCTATCATGGACACCACCAAAGGATGACGGGAATGCGGCCATTACAGGGTACACCATCCAGAAGGCTGACAAGAAGAGCATGGTAAGGCCTGGCTTTCTCTGGTTCGGCAGGAGCGAAATCACACTGCATAGAAGCAAAGGAGGAAAGAGGAGGTCGGCTCTTGTGAGGAACCAGGGGGGCCGTGGAGAAGCGAGGTGACCTAGTGGAAAGGGTAAGGCGTTTGGAGCCACAGAAAGTCAGATCCCAGCTTTGCCATTTAAGGCCACAAATACATAAACAGGCACTTAACCTCTTCAGTCCCTACCTTCCTCATCTACAGTGTAGGTTCACAAATACTTACTTTGCTTGGTTATCACGGAGCTGAAAAAATATATATAGCACCTAACACAATGCTTAATGGAATTTAATAAATTCATCTGTTCAACAAATATTTACTCACCCTGTATTCTGATTCCAATTTACACCCATTTCTCCTTGTAAAATAAATGTTCAATAGCATGGACAAAAAGGCTCTAGTTGGGAAAGAAAGATTCGAAGGGGAACAACATGTGCAAAGGTCCTGAGGAGGGAAGGAGCTTAGGATGTTCCAGAAGCAACCCAGTTGGAGTAGGAATTAGGAATTTTATAGAAGAGGAGACTGAGGCTCAGAAAGTATAAATGGCTTGCTCAACATCACCAGATTTTAAATGTTAACATGTTGGTCTTCCTGAGCTGAAAGCAGCCACTACACTGTACTACTGCCTTGCCTGTAAGTGAATGAAGAGACATATGAATGTTTGGATACATAACAGCATAGAGCCAGTTTTCACCCTCATTAGAAGAGTAAGACATCTTACTGAATGATACGGATAAGAAGTCTGTAGGCATTTACACCAGTGGATAGCAGTAAGAATGTAGATTATGAAATTTCATCGGGTTACTACAACAAGGCAGGAAGGTTGGTAAGGGCAGTAATAACAACATACATGTGTTTAATACTTTATAATTAATTTACACTTGAGTATGTTGTTACTATTAATATAAAAATTAGTGCTATTTTTCTTTTGGTGAATGAAACATCACCCCTGTTATTTATTCTAATCATCAGTTGGAATAGTTGTATATTTTTACATGATTTTCCTCCGACTTTTTTCTTTCAGGAATGGTTCACTGTCATTGAGCATTATCACCGAACCAATGCCACCATTACTGAACTGGTCATAGGGAATGAATATTACTTCCGGGTCTTTGCTGAAAACATGTGTGGCCTCAGTGAGAATGCAACAATGACCAAAGAGAGCGCCGTGATTGCCAAGGATGGTGAGTTAGCAGTGGGCTGGTAAAAAGGGGTTTTGGACCCCATTCCAGTGCGTGGGGGTTTAGGACATTTCTCCCACACCACTAAGCAATCTTAGACACCAGCTGGGTGTCCTACAATTCAAATCAATTCTGACATGGTCTACCCACAGACAGCATCAGGTCCCATGGGTTATGGGCTCAGTCTCACAAGAATGTGTCCACCTCCCACTTCAGATGCCAATTGTAAGTCCAGGTTGTCACCTGTGCTTCTAACTAACAGACTATATACCAGAGGTTCCAACGACCTTCTCTTCAGGTTTGATCAGTTTCCCAGAATAGCTCACAAAACTCAGAGAAATATTTTGTCTACTGTATCACTGGTTTTCTAGAAAAGATTATAACTCAGGACCTTCCAGATCGAAGAGGGGCACAGGCCAAGCATGGGGAAGGGGCACGGAGTTTCCATGCCCTTAGAGCCCCGCCACTCTCCTAGAATCTCCAGTGTTCACCAGTCCAGAAGCTCTGCGATTTGTGGGGGGCTTTCGTTTTTATACAGGGGGCTTCATTACATATACAGGATTGATTAACTCTCTAGCCCCTCTCTTTTCCTTGGAGGCTTGGGGGAGGGCCTAAAAGCTCTAACCCACTAATCACAAGGTTGTTTCCCTTGTGAACAGTCCTTGGGTGGGGTCAAAAGCCACCTCAATAATATAACAAAAGACACATTTATAGCTCTCCTTACTTAAGAAATCTCAGGGGTTTTAGGAGCTCTGCACCAGAAATGGGGATGAAGACCAAGTGTATATTTGTTATTATAAATCACAATATAATACTGGACATCTGGGAACCTTGGTTTTCAGTGACTAGAGGAGACTGAAAAAAAAAGAGATGTGAAAAGAAATAAGAAATGATAAACATATTTTTTAATTATGGTAAAAATTCCCAAGTAAATAGTAATTTTATTTATTTTTTTAAAAATATTTTCTTTCTTTATTTTTCAAGAGAGGGGAAGGGAAGGAGAAAGAGAGGGAGAGAAACATCAATGTGTGGTTGCCTCTCATCTGTCCCCTGCGGGGAACTGGCCTGCAACCCAGGCATGTGCCCTGACTGGGAATCGAACCGCGATACTCTGGTTCGCAGGCCCGCGCTCAATCCACTGAGCTACACCAGCCAGGGCCCAATAGTAATTTTAAAAGTCAAATTTTTAGAGAAAAATATATTATGTTATTATTTCATTTTTAAAACATACTAGCTGTAATTCGTTCCTGCTTCCAGGCTGTAAGTGTATTAAGTGGCTAAAATCACAGGGATAGGAAAAAGTAGACATTGATTTCTTGAGCTTGGGTTATTTCTGTTCTTGGACACACTCAGTATTGCTACATATAAGACCCATGAAATGGGTGGAGCAGAATTTCATGCCTGTCATTTCATTTCCTCATAAACCACTCTCCTTAAAGCTCTTCCTCATTACTGTCCCTTTAAAATGCACCATTGATCAAAATACTCCAACACCAAATTCTTGTCAATATTTGCTTCAGTTTCAGATGACCTCTGTGTCCCATGTGGGGTTGGCTGTCCATGTGTACCCTCCAGAATGAATGCCGTGTGTTATTCACTCATGTTTTTACATGCTTTTCTACGTTCAGGGGAGTTTTAATGGTGAGTAAAGTATACCAAGAATAACATGATCCTAAGCCAACTTATATATTTCTAATGCTTGTTTTTAAGGTAAAGTCTACAAAAATCCCGTGTATGAAGACTTTGACTTCACAGAGGCGCCCATGTATACTCAGCCTTTGGTTAACACCTACGCTATCGCCGGCTACAACGCCACTCTGAACTGCAGTGTGAGAGGGAACCCTAAGGTACCATGTTGCATTTTTTAAAGTCACATTAGTTAAATTTAAGAATTAACCCCAAACTCTCTCTTTTGTATTTGCCACATTATAAATGTAAGTAGCAACATAAACTGAGGCTCCAACTGCTACTTGCGTCTTATTCTAGGATTGGGGGGGGTGTTGCTGTGGAACATTAAGTACACTATTTAAATGTAGTAGTAAAAAATGTCTATATTTCTTTAATAAATCAGGGGTACTGTCTAAGGAAATAACAAACCATCTATTTTAAAAAGAACTGAGGGGTGAAGAGATAGAAGTAATATTGTTTCGCCTGAAAAATTAGGTGGAAATATTGATTCATCAAACTTTCGACAATAGACTAAAACAAATGATGATACTGTAATGCAAGCCAGAATTTAAAATGTGCTGTACTGAGGGAAGGGAGGAATCACATCTGACAGAAGAGAGTTAGAAAGGTTTCTAAGGTTTCTAAGGTTCATGTTGTTTGAAAAGAACAACAAATTAATGAATGTTTTCCATAGAGATAGTTATCTGTCCCCAGGGTGCACTGAGGGAAGGAAGCCTAGAATTTCAAAAATTGCAAACAGTGGTATTTTTCCCACATATATCGTGAACAGAAATAGGAAAATCAGAGAGAAGCCAAACGTGGGTGGAGGATGATAAATTCATGCTTAATTGGAAGTGATGTTGGTACATCCGGGTAGGAATAACCAAGAAGTAGACAGAGAAGAGATTCACTGTTCACTGGAGCTTCGGACAAAGGCTAAGGCTGTGACTCTCAGTTTAGGAGTCCCCAGGCATGGGAGGGCTGCATTCCACCCCTGGGAGTCAAAGCTCTAGAAAGGAATACCACTGAGGCAAGAGGGTAGTGAGTGAAAAGCTGAGGACCGATGCCTGAGCCTCAGTGAATTCAACCACTTGAAAGGCTGAAGGAAGACAACAGTGTGAAGAACAAAGAGAAGGGCCATCTCCAGGGTCAGAGAGAGGCAAAATCATGTAAGAGGCAGAAGTGGGAAGGGGAAGGTGTGCATTTACATAAGGAAGGAAAAGACGATCTGAAAGAGGAATGGAAGGTCAATGATATCAGATATAGTTCAGGGGCCAAGGAGAATGGAGTCAACTCCCTGGGCAATTCATTATGATAGATCTTGAATTATCTGGTAGGAGAAAATCCATTACCCCTGGATGAGGAAAACAGATGTCAGAGGACAGATTAAATGGTGAGGGGCCATAAGCAGCCCATAAATAATTAGAAAAGAGTATCAGGAAAGGAAGTGAAGTAAATTAGGTGGTTATGACACCTCATGGGGATTCTGGGAAAAATGCCCTGTAATACACAGTCTCTTGGATAATGAACTTCATGGACCGGTAGATCAAATTGAAATGCAAGTGAATCTGTTTGGGAAGACCACTCCAGAGCTGTCCTGGGGACAAATCTGTGTTGCTTCTTCAGAACTGCTCATTGCTCTCTTGCCAACCACTAAGTAGAATTTAACTAAAGAGAAACAGTGCTCAAGTGGATGTGGATTCTTTTTAGATGTGTTACTTTCTAAGCCATGCTTTAAAATTCTGTCACTGGCTTTGATGGTCTATTAGTGTGCTAACTACAGATATGTTTTGACCTAATTTATTTCAATATTCACTTCAGCCTAAAATAACCTGGATGAAAAACAAAGTTGCTATTGTGGATGACCCGAGATACAGGATGTTCAGCAACCAAGGGGTTTGCACATTGGAGATTCGCAAGCCCAGCCCTTATGATGGAGGCACTTACTGCTGCAAAGCAGTCAATGACCTTGGGACAGCTGAGGTCGAATGCAAACTGGAGGTGAAAGGTATGACATCCAAGATCTTGGGTATAGAATAGATAAAAGAAAACAATTTAATTATTGACCTTTCGGCAAAATCCAAATTGTTTGCCTAAATGTTTTGTGGTGGATAAGGAAGGGGAAGAGAATTTGGGGGAAAAATGTTTTTATACCTTGCATTTCATCTTGATTTATTTTTGAAGGTTATCTGATTTTTTAAGTAGGCTTATTTATCTGTCTTACAACTAAAGACATACTGATTACAGTGGGTTGCTGGTATGTGCACAGTGTGGTGAAAATAAGTTAAGTTGAGAATGTAGTATTTTGGTGCTGTAGTTCACCTATATAAATAGGTGCAAAAACTTATCTAATGATAGGAATTTATAGCATTTTTAATTAGTTTACTAGTTTGTGAAACTTTCAGTACTCATGGATAAGTTTGCTGATTTAGTGTAGAATGTTGCACATGTAGAATATAGCATCCACTTATTTTAACCAGTTGCTTTTAAATCTCACTTGAGAACTTTCATTTACAGGTCTGCATTTCATTTGTACTAGTTTTCAAACAATGTAAATCAAGAAAACACATAAGGATTGATGTGGCAGAAAAGTTTCAGCATAACCTGTTTTCTGGTTTTCATATGAAATAGAATTTTTATACTTGAGTTTTATTCTTGACGATCAAAACCTACTTTGGGACACCATGAGATATTGGTGACATGTTTCTGATATCTTGTCTCTCTTTCTCACTGTATTACAATGCCTTTCTGTGATAATGGAAGTCTTTCTGCTACCTCTCTATAATGAAGTTATGATAGAAAGACGATACATATGATTTCACTCACATGTGGAATCTAATAAACAAACTGAACTAACAAGAAAAACAGAGACAAACTCAAAGATGGAAGGCAGATGACAGCTAGTGACGGGGATGAGGTGAGGGGGTGGAGAGATTGAGCAAAAATGAAAAAGGACTCATGGGCATGGACAACAGTGTGGTACCTGCTGGGGGGAGCGGGGCATAAGGGGACTAAATGGTAATAGAAAAAATACAATAAATATTAAATAAAGAATTAAAAAAAGAAATTATGATCTAAAAGTCAGAAAGATAATCTTGTAAATACTTGTATTCAAAAAGTAAATGCTTAAGGAATTGGTCTAAAAAAGGTTTTTTACTCCTAAATTTAGTATAAAGAAACTTATTGAAAAATATTTCTTTTGTAACCTTTAAAAAATAGTATTCTTTTTCTTATGATCTCTATCAGTTCTGAGGTAATATGGCATAATAGATTCATAATTGTGTGAGAGCAAAATTTTTTTGTTTTCTTCTCAAATGTAAAATATAATATTCTTAGAAAATTTCAAACCTTACTCTTGAAATAGTGCTTACAAATTTAAACATTACTTCTTAGTTCTAATTAGCTTTCAATGCAGATTATGGTCACAGTTGCAAATACATCTGGTTTCTAAAGTCTTAGCCTCATTAATTCTAAGGTATCATTGGTGCTTACATTTTAGCATTAAAAAACCAAAAATTTAGCACAACTTCCGCGTGTTTTGAAAATTGCTGAATGTTGCTAATGATATAAAATGATGACTGCATAAATAAATAGTTCAACATTTGGGGTCCTCTAAAAAAGATAATAATGTTATGCATATAGATGATATATTCTTTATAGTAATTACATAGTACATTAGATGGTCATTGAATTTAATAATGTAAGTAATGTATTCTAGTACATAAGTTTATAGTAAGATATCAATTGTACTATACTATTGGTAAAGCTTTTGGTCCTAAAAGTAAAGCCAAGATTGTTTATCATCAGATTGTTATCTGATAATAGGTGACTTGAATCAAGTTAAGCTGCGAAAAATAACGGTAAGAATGTCAATGGAGAACAAATAAACACTGGTACAAATATTCTAATTCTACAGTGATATATCAAGGAGTAATTACCCCTGGACAACCACTGTTCCTGGCGGGGCAGCAACAGGTTTTCAAAATTCATATCCCACTGGATATCTCTACTTTCTGTTCCATTCCTCTTACATGAAATCGCATTTTGCATGTAAAGCTTGACTTTCTTCATTTGCTTTTAATTATATTTTTAGCAGCTCATGGCATACAGTGTTTATGCCATGAACAAGGAAGGCCAAATTATTCAAGGCTGTTAAGTAATGTAGGAGCTGAGTTTTGTCAGAAAACAAGTGCCATAGAAAAGGTCCCCACAAATAGAGCCAGAAGGCTACATTTGAAGATACCTCACTTCAGGTGTAAGATTATCAAAACCTGGGAACCAGTGACATTTCTGTACTATTCTCACTTTTCATATGTAAAGAGATAAGCTCTTCCTTTAAGATCATTTCCAGGGTAGTTTCCTTAGATCACAGGTGGCAAACATAAGGCCCTGGGGCCGAATCCGTTCCTCCACCTTGTTTTAACTGGCCTGGCGCCTTGTTTCTACCCAGCGGCAGTGCACCGCAAGGCTGATGTGGCCCCCGACGAAAATGCGTTTGATACCCCTGCCTCAGATTCATGTTGAAAATCAGAACGCTGGCCACTTGCAAATTGCTAAGTTATAGAGAAAGTGTTCCGAGTGTTTTTGATACGGAGAGGTCACAATTTAAAATAGATCCAATATTTAGGAACTTTTCTATGTAAGATTTTCCAATGCAAGATTCACTAGTAGAGTATCTGCAACCCATGTATCTGTTGGACGTTTTGGATATTTTCATGGGACCAAAGTTATTTCATATATACACAAACTTGAGAGAAAATTCTAGGTCCTGTTTCTAAATGTAGTAAGCATTAAGTAAGATCCACAGTACATGTATCATTCTCCCCCATTTGGTAGCGAGGATTAAGGAGTTCTTGGGGGCTGGATCTATGCCTGAGTTTACAATATTTCCTCTCTGAATTCCCAGAGGTAATGCCAGTTTTCAAAAGATGAAAGGATTAGGGCTGTTTCTTAAAAGTTTTCTAGATTATATATAGTCTCTTTCTAGCCTGTTTGTTTAAGCCGTTGGTTTATTTAGATTAGTCATATATAATTATTTCAGGATACATATCATAGAATACACTAGTCTACTATATCTACTTGATAATTTTGCCTTTTAGAATTTCAACATATATATATGTACACTAATGCTTTGTCTATCATCAATGTTTTTCTTTTGTTGAAAAACACTATATATATATGTTGTAGGGTTGTTTTTTATTTTTAAGCTAATGGTTTGGAAGCTTTTACTATAAATATTCACTGTACAATCACATGGGCTTTGCCACTGATTTAGGCAAAGTGGTTGTGCGTATTAATAAATGTTTTACATATTAATGATCTTTTTGAAGTGACTGGATCCCTGCCCTTCATTCCATGCGCTTCTATGTTCCTACATCTTTCACATGACTAAGGATTAATGAAATCATCTCATCATAACTGCGACCATAATTTCATCCAATGAGTATTCCACTTTGGTTTTAGCACTTCGTTAATGCTCACAACTTCTCTCTCTCTCTCTTTCTCTCTCTTTTCCTTAGTTGTAGCACAGTAAGGATTTTTGAATGTATATTATCATCTAAGGTAAGCTTTCATATGGTTTTGGCATATGAAGCTTATGACTGTCATAAGCCATACAAAGCTTGTGGAGTATGGCATGATTTTCATTATGTAATCCAATGAAAATAGACTTTAAAATATCTAACTTCATAGTTTTTATTTGTATTCCAGTATCTTGACATTAACAGCTAGTACTTACTCAGCTCCACAATCTCCTATGGACATGAAGCAAGTTGTTGAATGCAGTAGAGCATGAATTAAAGCATTTAATGTAGATGAAAATGTGTGACTCCTGAGCATCCTGACCTCTTTGCATCAAGGAATGGACATGTACATAAGTGGCGTCATTTCTACCAATATGTGACTTGAAATCTTTTTTTAAAAAGGAGAATGACTTTTCCAAATTTGCATTAAAGAAGTTTTAAGAATGTTCCAATGGCATGCTGTTTTGTCTGGACGTGAATTGATTAGCAAGTAGTTAAGTACTTCTCGAAAGGACCCTGAATTGTTACGGTTTCATGGGTTCTCTCATGAAAGGTACTTTTATTTTTTTTAAATGTAATTCAGAAACATGAAAGGTAAGTATGAAATATTAGTAGGTATTTCTCTGGCCTTCAGAAGGTATTAGATAGGATTTACTATTTTTTAAAAAATATTTCCAATTTTTTTCACTTTTGACAATGAATAAGTAGCAGAAGTTAAAGGAGCAGTCCCTTTATTCTTCTCCACTGTGCTTGAGTCAGAACTCCTTGTGCTTAATTAAAAAAGAACATTAACCAACCGGAAACAGTCCTTCCCATGGATTTATAACATATATGCATTTATTCTGCCATTCCATTCGAGCACTTAAATTATCTACAGAGAATCCCACAACCTCTCCAAGAGCAATAAACACTTTCTAACCAGCTAGGAATTTAAACTAAGATTAAATAACAGTAGGGAACAAAGGACTTCTATGGGTCTGGCTGGAACTTGCTTTTTCTTCTAGATGTCAAATGCTTTAAATTCTAAATGTACGACGCTCAGGAGAAGATTTCCAAGTGGGGACTGAATGAATCTTTGCAACCAACTGGAACATAGTTAGTCACATTTCCAGGCAGCCAGTCCAGAAGTATTATTTCAGTGATTTTCACGCACATGGTTTTGACTTTGCCTTCTCCTTTTTGTCCTCCTCAGGTGGACTTTCCTTCTGCAGGCTCCTCTTGCAAGGTGTACCTCCTAACATAATTGATTCCTATTTGCGAGACTTGCAATCAAGCAATCCTGAGGAATACTAAGGGCCGGGGCGCCGCCTCTGCTCCCCACTGCTTTGAAATCTGGTCGCAGTGAGAAAGCATTTTCTGTTTTAACACCAGGCACCCAAGCGTGGCCTTTTGTTTTCCTCCTCGTGTTGAAGAAAAAAAATATATTTGCACGGATTGCTTAATTAAAATGGCAAACGAAATCCCATTTGAAGTCAGTGTCTCAATCATTATTGTCTGTGCTTTGTCACTGCACTTCACAGAGAAAACGAGTTACACAATAAGGAAGAGCGGGGTATTTTAGTTTAATTTAATAGGCTGTAAATGCTTTTTTTAATCCAGAGGGGAAAAAAAAGCAGTACCATATACGATAACAGAATGTTAAAAACCCATCTTTCTTAAGAGATTTTCTAAGCAGAGTTGTGTTTTTCACACAACCCTCCTTAACGCCAGTGGATCTGTGCCTTTTCTCACTTGAATTCACTGGAAGACTTCTTAACATCAAACAAGTTTTCTCAACAGAAGGGGGAATATTCGATAAATGTTACAATAAATCTGAAGTATTTGTGGTAAAACGACACAGTATTTGTTTTTGCTTTCGGGGTTCTGTGGTCAGACAGAACTGCAGACGAACGGCGGGCGGGCGGGCCGCCAGCACGCTCCCCAACCCAGGCCTGGCCTCCAGTGTCACTCTGGCTTTGCATCCTGGCCCAGCTCCTGCCAAGACAGTCACAGTGACAGAGAGCTGGTGCGGACTACAGAGCAGCCACGGATTCAGGGCTGCTGATGGCATCCATTCAAAATCTGGAAGCAGAGAACCATCTGTGCAAGGCCCTCATCTCTCCAGCAGCTTCTTTGGTCTCCGTGGTGCTGTGGAGAAAGTTCCAGCTGAGGGAGTGGAGCGGGAGTGTGCGTAGGGTTCCACACCACACCTCCTGGCACCTTCTCTCCTTTGTTCTTTTGGCCTTTTGTTCTGGGAGCTAATTCACTGTGACCTGTAGGTCGGCCCATAGGGTCCTGGGACAACATTTATAGTATCTGCTCTGCTTCCTTTCCATTTGAGAGCTGGGACGTTGTGGTGGTGGTCACACCCCTGGGTTGATGTGGGGCTCCCCCATTTTAATCAGAAACTCCATTTTCACAGTATTGACTAAGATAATTTACATAAAAGAAGACTGGATTATCTAGAGAGACTTGAAGACCATACATCTCTATCACAAACTGAGTAAGACCTCTATCTGCCACAACCAATCGGTGTGGCCCCTGCAGCCTCGTTCCTGGGTCAGAGGCTGGTTGCATCATTTAAACACTCATTGACCAATCTCACCAAGTCATGGTCATGTTGCTTTATGCCATTTATAAACCTTGCCTAAGAGTGACTATAAAGCATAATTACAAAATATTGGTTCCCCAGTGATTGTGTCCTTTAAATATATTTTGTACCAGATAATGTTATTTTTCTACATATGATCTCTCTCCTCATATTAAGGGCATTCCCATACCATAAAGTTCCAACAAGGAAGAAAACGTCTATTTTAACATTACAAAGAGTGCCCTGGCTGATGTGACTCAGTGGGTTGAGTGCTGGCCTGTGAACCAAGGGGTCACTGGTCAGAGCAGGTGCCTGGATTGTGGGCTAGGTCGCCAGTAGGGGGCACAGGAGAGGCAACCACACATTAATGTTTCTCTCCCTCTCTCCTTCCCTTCCCCTCTCTCTAAAAAATAAATAAAATATATTTTTAAAAAACTACAAAGAGCAAAAAATATCAGAAGCTGCCACTGCTATTAGATCTCTACAACTTTGTTCTAGTTTTGTTTAAGTTATTGCCTGGGTTGTAGGCCAGGTCTCCCACTTGGGGGCGTGTGAGAACTGACCTCTTGCACATTGAGGTTTCTCTTCCTCTTTCTCCCTCCCTTCCCTTCTCTCTAAAAATAAAATCTTTATTTTAAAAAAAGCTTAATGGATGTTTTCATGTAAATCAATAGCGAAATGAGAGAAAGCTACTAGTTCCAAGAAACACTGAAACAAGGATATGTGTCCTTAACCATTCACTCTTAAGTTGAATTCTGGAACATTCTATTAAGAGCAACAAGTAGCTTGCTGGATGTCTGATGTGTGTATGGCACTGTGATGGATTCAGCTAGGAACCTGATGATGAATAAGCCACTTCATGCCTGTAAGGAATTTATGATGCGTAAGAATAATGGAGCATGCAGGTGTAAGAGAGTACTCTAAGATTTCAGAAGCTGAATAATGTGGTTTATGTGTCATTATACATGTATGCATCACACTAGAATGTAGTATAGGACATGCCACATGACTTTATTATTGTAAATCAAATTAAATATGATTCTGAGTCCCACATTAACCAGGATAATTGAGAAATTCTCTCTGTCCTGCTAGGAAGGTCCCATCTCAAGTCCTGGGCCAATTAGAATCTTTCCTGATGCCTAGAAAAGGAAGAGAAGAAAAGTCTCTGCATTTCAGTCTCTACTGGTGGCTGCAGAGATGCCGCTGGTCCAACCCAATGTCATGCACTCAACTTGCTAGACGAGTGGGAACACTGGACAGTTCTACCACTTAGTACCAGCCCTGAACCTAGGCAAGAGGGGCTTCTGCAATTTCAACAGCCTCATTATGGCCCTTCTCCAGCCACATTTCACTGCCTGAGACAGGGAGGCTGTAGAACCAAGGGGGTATGCCTACTTGGAACACGTACCATACCACTCCTTCTTATAGATTATACCGATGCTCACTGTTAGGGCTTTAGTGGGCCTTTTCCCTGGGTTTAAACCACCACAGAAGAATCGTGTGGCCAGTATATGTACCCTGAAGCCCAAGGGGTAGTCTAAAGGCATCCGTTTGCCAGGAGGTTGGGGTGTGCAGATGTGATCAGAGTTTGTGCTCAAGACTTGTGCTTGGGGCATCCGCATGTGTGTGCCTGAGACCACGCCTGGTGTGGTGGAGGAAGGAGCTGGGATGCAAAGGACAGGGAGACCAGAGACTACTGGTGGGCCACCACACAAGGTCTGTCCAGAAGGTATCCAGCCATGTAATATGAAAAATAGAGACATTCACTGAACAAGATACAAGAGACATGGTACTTAGAACAATGACACCTCAGTCCCCTTCAACATAGGCACCTTGGGACTTCACACAATTCTCCCAATTTCTATTAGCTGTCCCATCACATTTTTCTGAATCTCATTAATTGTCAAAGTCTCTTCCCTTTCAAAGGTGATTTTAATTTTGGGAAAAGCCAGAAGTTGCAGGGTGCCAAGTCTGGGCTGTAGGAGGCTGAATCACCTGGGTGATTTGATGTGTTCCCAAAAAGCTCTGCATGAGACGTAATGCATGAGTGGGTACGTTGTTGTGATGAAGCTGCCAATCACCAGTTGCCCATAACTGTGGCCTTCTGAGTCATCCAAATAGTTTCTGAGGAGGAATGTTCAAGCTTAATGCAAAATCTGCTGCTCTGCAGGCTCAGTCATTTTAAATATGACAGCCACACAGTACACATGCTCACTCAATGGTGTCTACTGCCCCCACTGACTACTAGTGAAGTCATCCTTGTTGATGCATTCCAGTCCACTCTCCTTGGCTTCCAGGTTACATCAATGTCATGCAAACCATTCTCATTATATTAATAATAGCTGGACTTTTGTCAGACAGACCTCATATTCTGGCAAGTATTTCTGAAGAATCTGATAACTCTACATTCAA